AAGGCAGCAGCAGAGCACAAGGCGGCTGAGGCAAAAGCAGCTGGCATAGGCATTGAAGCTGTGTTTGGCCACAGCCTGACTTCATAACAACAGAGCAGAAGCTGAGACAAGGGACAGTTGTTCTCCAAGTCTCTGACAAAAAACTCCCTCACTATTCCCTTGGAAGCTAAACAAAGACACGTGTTGGATTCAGCAAAGCTTTCTTTGTAAACGTGATTTCTAAATTCTGCGATTTTTTAAAATATTTTTTATTTTTCGCAACATCAGCTACTATTTGAGAGAAGGCATTTCATTTCTAGACAGTGTGTCTATTTCCTATCATCCTCCCTAAGATACAAGAGAAATTATTGGGTAGAATGGAAATAATGTCTCTTAGAAAGGAGAATGTAGGAGAAATTTGTTTTTTAAAATAAACAGAGCCAACCTCTCAGTTAGGGCCATCAGTGCAATCATATTCATCATGTCTTTGAGATGGTCCAACATGCAAAATATTTCTCCCTGATGACAATAGCTCCTCTTAGCGTGACCTCCTGTATTTTAGCTCCTGCTTACGAACAACAGAGGGTTTTTTACAGAACTGAATGCTCTTCAACTATGGATACCAACTATCCAGGTGTTGTCATTCAGTTCTTAATGCACCAACCTCTACTTTCACCATCTGGGAATTTAATCTCTAAAGCCTTTTGAAAAGAAAATCTCACCAAACAGATGGAAGCTAGCATCCACAGCCATACTGGTTTCTGCCTAGAGTCAGAATCGAGTGTCAGCCTGGTTATACTGCTGAGTAAGAAGTAGTTGGCATCACAGCTTGTGCAGAAAGTTAATTGCTCAGAATAACTGGGGGGCAGCTGAACAACTTCCTGCACATGAAGAGCTTAACATCTCATTGCATGTAGCGAAGATGAAGCATCGATGCAATGGAGCATGTTAATTTGCTTATCCTCTCAAAGATGGGGCAAGGACTGATGGTTGGGAGCCAACAGATCGGAGGGCTGGTGGTGACAGATCTGTAGATGTGAAAACAGCAATTAAAACTTTGCACAACCAGAAATGCTCTGAACACTTTGCAGGACAAGAACATTTTATGAGATGAGAACATTTTGCACAAATTGCACCTTACACAATAAGAAACTTTCCATGCCCCTAGAAAAATACCAGCTGTTTCAGTGAGTAACGATGTTCTGTCAGCAGCAGGCATATTTTCCTGTAAGGCTTTCTGTAAGTCAGGACTGGGTCTACTTGCCTGCAGGCCAACGAGAGGAAGACTGTTTCTTCCACTTCACAACATTGCTTTTATCTCTTTTTTTTTTAGGAGGAGAAAGTGGTTGTGTTGAACTGGAAAACAATGGTAGCCGAAGGAATGGACAACCCTGCTTTCAGCCACATTGAAATGGATGAAGCAAGTGATAAGAACAAAGCCAATGGCCTTCATATATGACATGGAGCCATGTCAGCCCTTGAGGACAGTTTTGTTCATGTAAAGCACTGTTGACACTCCTGTGCTGGGTCAGTTAGCAGCCCTGCTAGGATCACTGGCAGGAGTCTGCTGAGCTTCATGGTGCTGTCACCCGTGCACAACTTCGACATTAATCAAGAAAGGAATCAGGTCTTTCTTGCTTTTGTTGTTTCTCTCACACTCTGGATCTTGGTGACTGGGCTTAAGGCAATGTATCTGTGTGGAATATTTGCCTGATATTCTTGGGCCTCCTGGAAAATACCTGCTTTTACTTCCAGTTCACTCTCGGAGTAAATGTTTTATTTGGTAAGAGTGCTCTCCCCCGGAAATGACTGTTCTCTGTGGGCTTTTTTTTCTTTTCTTTTTTTTTCTTCTTTTTCCTTTTTTCTTTTATTCTTTTTTCTTTTTCCTTTTTTCTTTTTTTCCTTTTAAGTCATTGAAAGAGTGAAGAGATCAGTACTCTGGGATCTTACCAGCTGGCAGGAAACAATGGATCTTTTAGTGGAGGAGATGTACTTTGTGCCCTCTGATTGCTTTGTAGAACTGATCTTGAGAGCATATTTATTTTGCTGGTTCTGTCATATGTTTGCTTTCACTAACTTCATTCTTTGGTGAGCACTCCTCTCATGTGCCCACTGTTGGATGCTACAAAACTGTCCTTGGAGACAGGTAAAAACAAGCATCAGTAATACCCTTTCCTTTTCTCCCTACCTCACTCTTTAGCCCCATCTTGCTCCAACAGAGCTGGCCCTTGTGATGAAGTGAACAATCTGAGCTCTTCTTTCTGTGCCATGTAGCAGAACCACATGCTGGCCCATGACTGCTCTTGCGCTGAGCTGGGTGTTGTCATGGTTTTATGTTTTTTTTTTTTGGTTTTTAGTATTCTGCACCAAAACATCATGTAGTGCACTGGGAATTAAAGTGGTAATGCTCCAATTCTGGGTACCTGTCCCTGTACATCGTGGAAGTCATGGAATCTGGCTCTTCTTGGTGGGGCGCTCTCTTACTGCCTGGCAGTGGGTGCTGGAGGGTGCTTTCCTAGCCGTACTGAGCTTTTCCAGTTTGACTCGGTCTCAGGAACCCTCATATCTTGATTTATTAGTCTCAATTTCAATTAAATTGTATTATATTGTGTTATCTTGCATTCCGATATCATAGTAAAATAAGTTTTCCTCCATAGATCGTTGCTGCTGTTTTTTTTCTCCCTTCTTTCCTTCCCATTTTGTGGGGCCAGGGTGGGGGTGCGGGGAGGGCAGGGGCCTACTGCCCTCCCCTGTCATGGGCATAGATTGATCTAGTTAACTCTGTGACAGGTGTAGGTATTAACAAAGGTATTAATGTAGGAAGAAAACCCTCTGCTGTACTGGAATAGAGAAAAAGCTGCACCTGCAGTTGGCTGTTATCTGTGGAGCTGTGAGCTGAAACTTACTGTAACCACTTGTGTTCTTGCAGTTCCTGTTGTCACTCCAAAGTTTCACTTCCAAGGTTGGCCCAGATCAGGCTAGAGCATGTTTTGTGTTTTGCTTAGAGGGCAGAGTCTGCTGTTCTGTCTCTGGGAGGGGAAGGGAATGCAAGGGCTGGATGAAATCTCTTCATGGCTGCAGGGCATGGGATGGCTCATCCTCTGGCTGCACTGCTGAGAGGAGATGAACAGCATGTCTGTCCTTACATTACTTCTGTTTTGAGAGGATAAAAACCCCACAGCTCCCTTATCCTAATTGCTTGGGGAACAGGCTGTTTGACCCACTGTTAGTACTACTGTTAGTACACTGTTAGTACAAAAACTGTCAGTTTTGTACTATATATTTTTTACGACATCAATTGATGGGGGCTTAAAACTCTGCCACAGCATCAAGTTGGTAAATAAAAATCATTGCAGGAAAGCCAGGCAATGAAGCTTAAAAAGCAGTCACGCTTGAGACACAAATCAAATACTGACTGTGTGTCTTAAACTCTTTCAAAAAGTTACACTGAGTTGTGCTGGGTGCTCAGCTGCTGTTATATGGGATTTGATTGTACTAGTTTACCTGTGCTGATTTGGGCCCTTAAGCACTTAACCCAAGCTGTTCTGTGCCCCCTGACATCAGGCATTTGATGATCTACTGCATAAGATGGGATCGGTAAACTTTAGGAGGCAAAAATGGGAGCAGACCTTTCCTAGCAGAGTATAGACCAGATATACTCTACATGGGTTGCCACTAGGAGCACATCTCCATTGGCCAACCAGTGCAAATGATGAAGTCAGGCTTCCCCTTTGCTACCTGAGGTGTAGGCTGGCAAGATCCAGAGCAGACCCCTTGTCTCCCACTCGTGTGCTGAGGTACTTTTGGCCCATGGATTTGAACAATGACAAGTACCGATATCTTCACTGAGCTGCAGAGAGCCAAAACACTAAGAAGACTGGTGTCATTCTGTGTGCCTCTGCTCAGTGGTTTGTAGTAAGCCAAGGGCAGAGCAGAAGCCTGCAGCAAGGCCTGTGTGCCTTCTGGTAGGACTACAGAACTCGCAGCCCACATGTTGCACTCCCATCTGACCATGATCCTTACGGGGGTGACTGATCAGCACAGCCCTTTGTTGCACCATGCTGGGTTGAGTCCCTTGTTTTGAATTGATGCTGCCTTGGATGACCCGTGACTTCTACCTGTTATGTTCATGGAGTGAAGACTAATCTTTCCAGCAATCACAGTTAAGAAATAACACAGGGTCATGGAGTTTATTCTCAGAGCTTTGAATTCACATGGGAAAACACGTAAGCCTTTGCTTGAAGTCACTCTTTGAGCACTGATCAGTCATTTTACTCTAATTTCGGTATGAAGTGAAAGCTTGGGCCAGATGGTATCTGTTGGCCCACAGTCACACTGAGGCGAGTTTTTATACCGGGGAAAATACCATGTTGTAAGAGGTTTAGAGGTAGCATTCTTTCTGCAGATGACCCTGGCAACTGTCCTTTTTCTCATTATCTAACCTCCCATGATTGCTGCAGAACTAAAAAGTGACTCTTCTGCTTTACTTTTTTTTTCTTTTTCTATACGCTTGCTGTTTTAATTGATATCACTAATTGAAACAATTAATTTTGAATAATGCTTTCTCTGAGACTATATACTGTCCTTGTCTAGCTGCAAACAGAGCCAGGGCTTTGCCTGTGTAAAAACAAGATAATTCTCAGTGTCTCCCTCACAGTCCTGCACCACGATCCTTCATCTCTCTCAGCTAAAAACTCACCCAACAAAGAAATGAAGTATAGCCAGTGCCAGTTAATTCCTTGGGAATGGGAGCACTCCATACTGCCCAAGTTACATGCAGCATCTGGGAGGGCTGAGAGGAGAAACAAGTGGAAACATTAAAAAATGAACTGAGAAGTCAACAGGAGCAATATTTGATGACATAGATTCACAGACAGAAGGTGGTAGTGGATCCTGGCCCCTTTTGGTCTGCGTTTACACTTACTTCCACTCAGCTGGTCTGTTTTCTTTCTGAACAAATCAGATAAATAGAAAATAATGTGTGGATTTCAAACAGCAAACATTTCATATGCGTCATTTATTTTAAAGTTTATTGCGTCACATTATACAAGCATTAAACATGGCTTTATGTTGATGATTTTTTTACGTAAGTGTGAAAACTTGACATTCTTCTCCATAAGATTTTTTTCTATTTACAAATAAACAATCTCTATGTATACTTTATATATATACTATATATATGATAAATAACATAATTCCCCTCAGAAAGATTTAAAATAAAGAACAGATTTGTAAACAGGGTTTCAGTTGTAGTATTTGGTGGCTTGAACACAGATGGTGCTCTATACCTAGGCTTTTACTTTTGTCAGAGTATCCAGGGTGCTCGTTTACATTTATTATTCTAAGGTTCGTAAAACCAATGTGGGACAGAATGCAAAAATCGTAGCAAACAGGCTGAAAAACAGTCCCAATATACATTTTTTTCCTTGGTTTTAAAAACTGGCGTGTAACTGCTCATGAAGTACACGCTTGCTGTCAAAAGTGGTCTATAGAGATCACTCCTATGCTGATTGCAAGATGATTTCACAGTAAATCCTTTGATGTGTGTTGTCCTGCTTGCTATGGCAAATGTCTGTGGCATGCACTGAGGTTGCATTTTTTCTCGTTCCTTTGAAGGTAGTGCTCTTGTGGAGCTGGAGTAAGTAAACAACATACAGGGCGGTCACCTGGAGTTTTAAACAAAACCCATCCATCATCAGATCAGAAAGAATGGAATGGCATAAATTTTCTATCTACAGACTGTTTTAAATTCTATGTATTATTGTTAGCCTATTGTATGTGATATATTTTCCTAAATAATGGAGCAAATAAAAAGGGGGTTGTCTTTCCTGAGTGTTCTGCTATAAAGCTTTAAAGGACTAAAGGGAAATCTATTCTGCAGAACAGCAGGACTGAAATGTCAGTGCATTGACTGGTCAACATTAAGTGACAGAAATGTACTCAGGATCTGCCAGGGAGGTCAGAGTCCCTTTTGGCATCACGCTCAGCACAAGCCTGGTAAATAGCAGCTCATGTGCTCAGTTTGGACAGAACAGGACATAACTTCTAGCTATGAAGTGTCATGAAAATTCATTGCAGTGTACCTACGTTGAAAACTTGTACCAAATGCAATTATTTTGTATTGTGTTTTTGCTGCACTTTATTAGTTTTGACACACTATATTGCAGCGATTGCTCCAGGGTAGAAGTCAGCTTAAATTCTACTCAATTTCAATTCAGTTCTGGAAACTGCAGGATTTTTGAAAGATTCACAATCCATATGGGTGAGACTGATATTATGTATGACTCACAACTTATTTTACTACCTAGCAAACAATTTCTAAATTAGTCATTTGTGGGTTTTTGTTAGAGATGTAACACAGAGGATATGCAGCCTAATCCAGTTGCTCATGTGAATTTGGTCTGAGTGAGATTTTGCACAGTGATCCTGCCTGAGAGTATCCAGATTGCTAGTGTAATATACATCCCTAAGTGGTGAATGGTAAATACTAACCCATTCGGCATGTGTGTATAAAAGAATGAATGATGTTGCCTATCTATTTCCTTCTGTTTACTGAGACAGAACATTCCCATTTCTTCACTGCCCATATAGGCTGTGTCCACAGCAGCTGTAAGGTGAAGCAAAGATGAACAAACAAGTTTCTTGCTCATTAGGCAGGAATATATCCCAGAACCATTAGTTGTGTTCCTTATTCCTTTTGGCAGCAAGTCAATAGAGAACAGATTCACCCTGAAACTCCTTCAGTGGCCTCATAGGAATTGCCTCATAGGAACTCCTGGCTTGGGTCACGAGCACCTGATAGTGGAAGCCATTTATCCTCCGTGCAGGAAGATGGATTAGTACTAGAGGAGTTCCTTATTCAAAGGAAGCAAAATGTAGGCTGGCAGTGGCTACCGAGATGAGGATGCAAACATTTTCTTCCACCAAACCATACTGCTTTTCATCAAAACTTTCCTCATAGAAATAGCACAGTTCTACCTTGCAGTGGAGCAAAGTTAACAGATCTAATTTGGCAATATGAGGTCTTGGTAAAGGTGGTCCTGATGTTTACCGGACTTTGAGGCATCCATACAAAGGATCTTGCACTGTGTGATTTGTCCAATGCTGCTTCTATTGAATGGTTTCTAGAAGAACTTGTAGAAACAGCGTGCTGAATTTTCCTCACTGTCAAATGCCTTTAAACTAACAAGGGCATTATTCATTAATAGCTCTGAGAAAAGCATACTGTTTTTGAAGCTCCAATTACTTGGAAAAGTGCTAATTGAATTGATGAGCTTCAGTATTTTGCATGTAGCTGTATCTTTACGAAGACATATGGTTCCTTGCAGTCTACTTACAGTCTGGGCTTTTGAACTTCCTTCTTCATATTGTGGCTGATTATGCTCCTGCACGTTTGGCAAGAATTGCAGTATTATCACTTTGAGGCAAGAGGCAGTGGAGCTTTCACAACACTCAGTATTTTGATTTGTGTTGCTCTGTCCAGAAATTCTGCAGTTATTAGAGTTACAGCTCTACTATTTTGGACTAATGACCTGCAAACTTTTTAATTTCTTAGTGCTAAGCAATTTGCAGAAGGATATAGTCAGTGGCCCATTTTGGCCAAATCTAATTCTACAGCCTATGTAGAACTGCTGTGCACAACAGATTTCAAGCTATTTCATACTACAGCCTAGTTGTTTTCTCCCAGTGCAGACAACAGAAGAAGGAATAAAAGAGCAGAGATTATGGATGATCGTGTTCTCTTGCTTTGTTGAATTTGTTCATCCATTGTTTGTTTGTTTGTTTTGCTTTGTTATTGTTGATTTACTTGAGACACAGACAGTCTTCTGTTATGTGTATCATATATTCTCGATTAGGCCTTGATGTGGCCTTGCAATACAAGTATACAAGCAATTTTGGATGAGGTGTCCTAGCTTGATTTGTTTCCTTCAGAGACCAGACAGACCCATAGCTGAAAAGGCACTGTTCAGATCTTCAAAAGTTACTAACCTTTCACAATAATGTGTCTAAATTAATGACCCTACAGTTAAGACACCTCTGGACACATTTAGGTGCTTGCCTATCTGCCAAAACTTCTGCATGTGTAATTTTTTCAACCCATGTTAAAGCATTTGATTGGACTCATGATCAAAGATCTCCTCACAAATACTAAGGTATTGTTCAAGTTATGGAGGCAATCCCCATATGTTAACTTAACTCATGGTAGATGCTAGCTTCCACCACTTATTCCACCATGGGAGAGAGCATCATTGCCATGCATGTTCAGCATGTGGTGACTACACATGAGGACATGAACTATCATGTTGCTAATGAGCAGTCACTGGTTATGAACTAGCTGCTCAGCCATGATGAGGAGCCATGAGATCATTAGGTTCTGTAAAGCGCTGTAAGATACTTAGCTGCTTTGAAGTTCACGGCCTTGAATTTAAGCCATGCCTGGAAATAGTGTGGAGCCTTAGGCATTGGTCTGCGCTGCTCATGCCAATATTAGCTCTGGAGAAGACTAAGCCTTGTAAGACCCCAAATTTGAAAAGACTTAGCACAGTATTCACCATTTTAAATATGGGTACACATGTGCTGAGTGCACACAACACTGACTGTTCCTGTTTCACTGTTGCTCTCTACCACAGAAAACCAGGATTTTTTTTAATAGAAAGAACTCCTATCTTCTTTTAAGCAGTTTCTTCCTCACCCCATCATGGCCACTCATTGTGATAAGATTTTCCATTCTTCTTTCTTTCCTTCCTTTCTTTCTGCAGACGTTCTAATTCCGCTTCATACATCATTTCCTGAATCAGGTATTTTTCTCTCCTCATTCGATCTCTCAGATCTTTTGGAAGATCTGGGATTAAGTAGGAAATCAGGTGCTTTATGCAAAAGACAAGGTGCTGCAAAAAGAAGAAATGGTTGAAGAATGAAAACTACTGGAAGAAAATAAGTTATTTCCATACCTTCTGAAATCCCTTTCCTTCTAAAGATGCTGCGCTAGAACTGAATTATTACTAAATTCCTGAAGTATTACTAAATCTGAAGAAACCAAATTGTGAAGATTTCCCCAACAAAAAGCTAGACGGCAGTGGACTATGGATTTCAGCAAAGGTCAAGAGCAGCTGAGTCCAAACAAAGCCTCAGGACTGTTGTATGACCTGTGCGTTCAAACCCCTGAGGTCATGCTTTGCTGTAGGGTTGTCTGTGCAGGGACTGTTAATAGTGGATTGCTCCACAGGAGGAAGATCAAGTTGTATAATATTTTCCTGTCGCTGGAAATTTCTTGCATCAGTATTGGAAACTAACTCACCTATGTAAAACAAAACATTTTTTCTTCTAATCTGCATCTCTAATCCAAAACTATCTTGTCATTTACTAAGCATAAAGTGCTCCTTTGTCATTCATGTTTTAGGCAAGCCCCAGCAAAGCTGACTGTGATGGGGGAGGACTGCTCAATTGTATTCTTTCATTTGACTGAAGATGGTGCAAGGAGATTTATACACTCCGCTTGAGAGGAGATCCTCAGAAATAAAAATCCCCAATCTCAGCAAAAACACAGATTTTAGACTGGAGAAGTAAAGATACTTCTTCTCCAATAAGAATCCTTCCTTTTAAACCCACTGAAAAGTATACAACATTTTCCCATGTATTCTTCCCTTATGAGAAAATAGAGAAACAACCTGCAATAGCCATAATTACTGCGTGTCTGCCTAATCTAAAAAAAAAAAAAAAACAAACAAAAAAACCCTAAAAAGCTTCTTCAGCTTTTGCACACAGCACTGCAACTGAACTCTCAGTTTAATCCAGACAGATACTTTCTTTTAAACTGAGAAGAAGTACTTTTGTTTTGCTCATTTGGCCAACATAGCCAAACACCACTGCATCCACTTCCTCATTGCCAAAAGGGTGTCTGAGCTGAGGTGGAAGGTTACTTCATTTGTGAAAAAACTGCCTTGAATCTCCTAGAGAGACCTTTTACTGTAACTGCTCTGGCAACAATAACATATCTAGTAATATTTTCTGTAGTGAAAAACAGGTATAGTTTCTGCTGAAGTTACTTTTATAATTTTATTCAGATAATTAAGGAAGCATTTTGTAGTGTAAATAAACAGATCAGTCTCTGCTGAGAGAGACACTGGTGAGCCAATTTATAGCTTTAGTTGGGGCAAAGCAAAGTCAGTTGTCTTATGAAAGCATCGGCCAGATCTGAAAAGATGTTCCACAACACACTGTGTATTAAGCTGGGCACTGAACTTCTGCAAGACTGATTAGTCTCACTGTAGTTACTTTTGTCCTTATTCCATGCTGCCTTTACACATAACAGCTGAGGTGGGAAGGGACTTCTGGGTCTGTTTGGTCCCACCCTCTGGCTCATGCAGAAACACCCGGAGCAGGGTGCCCAGGACCACGTCCATGTGGCTTTTTGAAGATCTCCAAATACATATAAACCATGTGTCCAGTGTCTAAAAGCCAGGCTCTCTTTGGTCTTAAAACTCCTTAGGCTGATCTGCCAGTGCTGCTCTTGTAGTTCATTTTTGGAGAGGGATTCCATGGCTTTCAGCACTGACAGCTCAGGAAGCAACAACAAGATGCATTGGTGAGGCCTCACCTTGAGTACTGTTTTGGGCACCTCAGTTCAGAAAGGATATTGAGGTGCTGGAGCAGGTCCAAAGAAGGGCAACAAGGCTTGTGAAGGAGAATATGCCCTATGAGGAGAGACTGAGGGAACTGGGGATGTTCAGTCTGGGGAAAAGGAGGATGAGAGGAGACCTTATTGCTCTCTTCCAATACCTGAAAGGTGCTTACAGTGAGAGCAGCGTTGGTCTCTTCTCACTGGTGACAGGTGACAGGATGAGGGGAAATGGCCTCAAGTTGCACCAGGGTAAGTTTAGGTTGGATATCAGGAAACACTTCTTCACAGAAAGGGTTGTTAAGCACTGGAATAGGCTCCCCACGGAAGTGGTTGAGTCACCATCCCTGGATGTGTTTAAAATCCATTTGGATGTGGTGCTCAGGGACATGATTTAGCGGAGGGTTGTTAGAGTTGAAGGGCTGAAAACTACAATCGGGGAATTCTCTGCAGACCTTGGACTTCTGCTGACAAGACAGCCCTAGGCAAGAAATAATCTAGAAAGTGTTTCCCCTTCACTTTTCTTCTAACTCGAAAGCTCGAATGTTCAGTGAGGTAAAGAGGTGCTTTGAGAGCTCAGTACAGAATGAATTTCCAGAGTAACATGAGTCAGAAATGTAGTATTTGCTCCTGAACAGTATGCCAATAATTAGTGGTGATGGCAGCTTCCATATCTGGAGGCCCTGTTGCTATCATTTCAGAGAAGTGGACCGAGGAAAGAACGGTCAATTTTATTGTTTATTCTCTGTTTAGCTTCTTCTCAGTGTAAAAAGCATTGGAATTGCTCATGCTGTAGAGATGCTGAGCACCTGGTTTCTGGCTTAATGAAATTCAGACCTTATGAGCTGCATCACAGCTTATTTATCTACCTTCTCTCTGTTTTTCAAAATCAGCATAAGAATAGCAGTCAAACGAAGCTGGGTTTTCTCTGGTTTGTTTTAAAGATTTCTGAGATACTGACAGTAAGCACTAATATTATGAACTTTGCCAAAGATATCGAGTCTCTTTTAGCATCACCAGCTTTGTGATGCTAATGGAGATGAATGGTACTTAAAATAGAGAAAAAAAAAGCTAAATGTGCAAATAATGTGCAACTTAAGCCATCTCCATTTTTCAGTTGTTCAGATTTCATCCCTCCTAATCATGTTCCTTCCCCCCTTATTCACTAACTAGTTTGCATACAGCTTTCAGCCTAGAGTGCTAAAACCAAAACTTAGAAAGTAAAAACAACATTTCATTCCCCTCTTTTCCTGTCACTGTTATAGCTTTCAAATTGCAGTATACCCCTGTTTGTTAAAATATAAATACCTGTGACTGTTCCAGAAATGGGAGAATATAAAGCACAATACAAATAGCAGAAACTAACGCGAAAAGCTTGTCAGCTGGTATCATGGAGCAGCTCAATGAATAAGCTTCAAGAGGAAGTTGTTTTTGTTTTGGTGTTTTTGTTATATAGACTTTTCCACTGGAATGGTCACTGACCTCAAATACAATAATGAAAGCCAGCCGTGCTGCTAGGACATGCCAGAACTGCAGCGTGTAGCCGTAGGGCACTGGGGAGTGAGGAGGGTCTCGGTAGTCCCTGTACCTGAAAGACAAGCAGAGCACTGCAGTTAGTAAGCTCCTACCCTTCTGCCCACGAGGAAGACAAAACCCAAACCCATCTTTTCTTAATCAATGCATTTTCTGCAAATACAGAGCACGTCGGGTGCTCAGCACTAGCAGTTGTGGCTTCTTTAGCGCAACATGGGCCCTGTAGGCACTTTCTCAGAATGCAGAGTGGAGTAGGATGCTCATGGAGGGGTACTTTCTTCCCTACCACAGCTTGTTTTAAAACCATAAATATCTCCACTTTTGTCAGCCTGACAACCCTCGTCTACGTTCTAGATGAGCAGAAGTGAACTGAGTATGGCCACTGTTTTTTGTTTAGACAGTCTGCCTTCTTGGAAAAGCGCCTACACTACAGCAGGCTGCAGTATTTCCTTACTCAGTATCAATAGCTGGTTTACGCTGCAATTAAAGTGACTGATGTTTTAGCAGAATTTTGATGGGTAGCTGATAAACTCAGCCAAAGAAAGTAAGACACTCACTTTCTTTCAAGGGTAAATATACATAATAGTTCAGTGTACCTCCAAGAAGAGATTTAACTTCTAGAGATTTATGGCACCAACTCTAATAGAATGGAATGGAATATTGAGGCGACAACTTATGCATTTATTGATGGGGTTTCTACCACCAGCTTTAAGTAGCAGCAACATTACGCATGATGCTAGGGGAGAAAGTAATTAAAGGGGGGGCAGAAACTGATCAGAATCCATAAACATTATTAAAAGGTACCATGGCAAACTACATGGAATGAAGTATTATAAAAGCAGCTCTGCTCCTCAGAAAACTTTATCTATGGAGTCAACATTGGGATGCTCTTTCTGTAAAATAAGTTTCAACAGAGAACAGTGGCTTCAATATCAGTTATGTAAATAAAAGCAGTAATCAACTCACAATGCTATACCGCTTGAACTAGTTATTGCAAATAAAAATGCCACAAAATCACAAGGTATCAGTGACTTTTGCTATAGTCCAGAATATCTTTTTTTTTTGTTTTTTTGAGAGACTCATGAAATTAAATTATATTTTTCTACTATATTTTTCTAGTGAAAAATACTGGGGTACCTGTATCTGTAGCCACCAAGGCTCATGCTGGTAAACTAGTACTGCCACAGACAAATGGCAACAGCATCTGTCATTTGATGTTCTTCCATTGCACTCTATTTAGGATTTTGATTCTCTGGACCGTAACAATTAATCACTTGTAAGTCTCTCATCACAGCCTAGTCTCAGACTGCTATTCCCAATCTGCTGGCTAATGACAAAGATACAATGATTAACTGCTCATTTTATTCTGATTCAAAGCAGAAGCATATGATTATTATTAATAATTACACCTACAAGCAATGACATAAACATGTTAACCATTCAGCTGTTAGTTTCGTAAAGGTAGCTTAGGACAGGCTCTGTTTATGTCAGACAGACTTGTGAAATAACTGAATGCAGTCACTTCTATGCACATCTAAGATGACTTTATGAGAAAATCTGATTAAGATTTCATCTCAATGACATAATCAGTCACTCATTATTGACTCTTTGATACCATATTCCTCCATGATGACTGCATGTGATTCAGGCCATATCACCATACAAATTCTGTAGTTGGAGCACCTGCCAGCTTCTCTTGCATCTAAGGAAGTAATCATGCAGAAAGCAACCGAGAACTACCAGAAGTGTGTTCTCAAGTAGCATTTTATTTTCCATTAATATTTTTCAAGTTTTGAAAATTAGTTCCAACCCCAAATTTACCAGGATGTTTCTCCCTTGAAGTGTTTTAAAGCAAAGAAGTGTTTTGATCAGATACTTACCTGCAATATTTCAATGGCGAACCAGAGAATTCACTTCCATTTGATGTAGGCTCTGAACGGTTTTCAAAGTCCGACACCAGAAATACTGATAAACTGGCATTAACATAGCCAACCATACACCTAGAGGGGAAAAATTCCTTTAGTCAGGACACAGCAAGATTCTTCTATTAACTGTTCTACCCAGAAGGAAGTTCTCAGGGTTTCATGAAATTTGCAGTTTAACTGTGATGCTTAGTAACGTTTTGAAGGGATACAGAGGCAATATGAAAGAAGCACTGACATAGATCAATGAATAATGGTAGATTTTTATGGGAGAAGAAACGGCGAGGACTGGGACTAGTTACTTCTGAAAAATACATAGGTAGGGAAAATAGTGAGTGGCACCAGGGAGATAAATAGAATATTCCCACTGTCAGTCTCATGTGTGATAAACACAAAGGAACATTAAGTTAAAATGGAAAGGCAATACACCTACAACAGCTAAGGGAAATAAGACTTTTTTTTTTTTTTTTTTTTACAAAATGTTCAGTTGTTTAGATAAATTTGGTATTAGAAAACCGCAGACTGGTGGAGTGTTGGGAGGGTTAGACAGATTTTGTAGAACACTGAGAAACAGAATGTACATTGCATAGTAAAGGGCTATGGGAGTCACAAGAAGGCTCAAACTTGGTATTAATCATGTTGAGGATAGGGAACATGCATTGCACTTTTCACTAAAACATGGGTAAGTATTGGCACACCAAGAAAGCATTCATTCTCTAACTGAGAAGAAAAGACTTCAGCTAGCAGTAACCAATCACATCACCATCAGGGCCATCTGTTTTAAGTGCTTCAAAACTAAAACCAAGAGACCATTGACAGAATTATATGAGGCTGCCAGATTTTCAGTCAGGAAGAAGGAAGGACTGAACCAACTTATCTTCATTCTCCTAACATACATGCTGAACTGAGCTAAAAAGAAAGATATTTAAACATATTTTGCAGTGCATCAAGAGGTCACGTACAAATTTAGCCACCCACAAAACTGTTCTGCATGGTATACCATGTACTGTCTTTAAGAATAAGAACCTAAAAGATGAGTATAATTTCTGCATAGTTAATTCTTTCAAAAAGCTGTTATCGATGAACGAATTTAGCTACCATAAGGATAGCTTCTAAATGCCCTGATTGGTACGGTTTTGCCAGGCAGTTCTGACCCACAGGGATGTCTGAAACGACAAGGGAAAGCAACTCTCACCTCCACTGAACTAAATCTGTTATAATACCGCTCTGATTTCAAGAACAATTCTACTTTATTTAGACAAGAATCTGAAATGTGGAACTTGAGGTCAGACAACTGAGGTGTGAAAATTGCTTTTAAGAGAATATTTGAAAATCAATTTTGTCCTGCCAAGAACTGCTGCAGGAAGCCAACAGTCTTTGTGATATACTTACATCTTTAAAAACCTGCTTTGGCTTCATCTGTTGGACTATTATAACTAAATTTCAGCATTACCAAACCAAAAAGCTTAAATCTGTAATTATTTCAAGTTGTTTTGCCAGAGGTTCAGAAAGCATTATATGGTTTTCTTCACAGTAAGAGCTGATTATTTTTTAACTAAGGATTTTGAAATATTTGAGAAATTACATTTAAGAACCATCTAGTTTTGATTTAAGATCTCCACCTTGATTAGATTTGGAACTTAATATTTTTCTAGTATCGCTGGTGCGTTATATGGATTTAATACCTACAGATGTTTTGGGAAAGAAAAAGAGAATTGCTCTCATGTAAGGTAGTCAATAGCAGGTATTTTCACGCCTTAATTTAATTTGAGAAAATTCAATATTCCTGTGGATTTTTAATAGCTCCCGTCTTTTCTAACAGCAGTTACGAATAGCAGCATCCAGAATGATGACGTATGTAGTTTTTATCAAATTTGGCTGCTCCATGGGATTAACATTGAATGATTTCATCTGAGAAATTCATCCAGAAAAGCAGCAAAGTTATGAAAATGCTGTACAAGAGGTTTGTAAGAAGTGCATCTTCAGTGAGCCAAGCTACTTCCCCTATGCTGAACTAGTTTTAAAACCAGTGAGTCATATTTTATTACAAAAATCAAATTTATAAGAGGACTTTTTTTTCCATGCACATGGGCTCTAAGAAAATCACTTGCAAGGAAAACTGCTGACAGTGCCTCAGTGTCCTATGGATCTTCATCACAGCACAAACAGAGGCGTAGGCTCAGCAAACACTGGCACCAGACCAAACACCTTAACAGCAAAAAGATTTTAACTCCTCATGAAAATAAATGGAACAGTCCTGCAGGCACCTGTTAAAATGCCAATCTAGCAGCAGAACGGCAAATTAGCAGCACTGCTAATCAGGAACTGCCCCATCAGCTGCCTTTCTTCCATCAGTAGGATTAAACAGTATTGGCAAACACAAGAGAGCAAAAAAAGCAGCAACAGAAGAATCCACTTGCTATAGCAAGGAAGAAAAATCAATCTGCCATATGTCTGACAGCAGAACATAAGCCCTGTAATTCTCTCTCTGGTTAAGCTTGTGTTTCTCTGAACTGCAGGCTCTTACTAACAGAGCTACCAGGAGATTTGCAAACTGCATCCATGTGTGTTCACTGGATTCAGTGACCTTCCTCCAGTCCAACAGCTGAGATTTTATAAGTTGCAGTGTAGCAGCTAGACTCATACTTAATGTAATCTTAGTGTTTACCAATACTGAAAGAAAATCCACTTAGGTAGTGGGGTTTCAGTTCACAAATGTCTCCTGAAAGACGTAACCAAAGGACTCTAGTTTTAGATGAAAAACAAATTGCTTTGCTCTGTAAGGATGCCTTGATTTATCAGTTGGGAATTGCTTTCTCCTGTGAGACACTGCTTTTTGGAACAATGCATGCTGAATACAGGAAATGCAGCTTAATGAATAAATATCAAATTCTGATTAAATCTTTAACTGATAAATACGTGCATAGCTTCAGAATAAAAAGAGATCTATACCCATGTACACCAGGAAATGTGGTTTGTGCAGCATACTATTACACAAGCCAAATTTCTGCCACATTTTCCTTGAGTTAACTTCATTACAGTCAGTCCAGCAACCTACTCTGCCTGTGGCTGAAGTCTGTTGCCTAAGCACAAGCGATAAATTTGGGTTAGTGGAATTGGTACATATACAGACAGAACTGCTGTATCTATTCAAGCAACGTGATTTTCACACATAACTTTCCTCCCAGAGAAAAGCTTACTTTTGCCCAGCTTCTCCTTGGCCTGCACAGGGTCCATATTTGTAAGCATAAACAAGTCGAGGGATGAAATCTGATGTCACGGCAATAACAAATGCATTTGTGATAACAGAAAGAATTCCAATGCCTTCCAGAATCCCATACCATATTCCTGTATGATAAGGAAAATATGTTATCTCCAGAAAAAAAATCAAGGACCAAAAGATTTCAAATACTGCATACTTTGAAGCAATTGTCCCATCACTCAAAAATTACAAAGTTTCTATCAGAGACACTGACTAAAAATCATTTTCTTATTGAGCAGCAAAACCTCAGTAGATCAAATTTATGTTCTCACTAGAGTCACCCAGTGGGTGGCTTCATCTTCAAAAATGCTCATGAAACTTTGGCTCCATCAAATACCATAATCATGTCAGTTTTAAGAAATGCGAGGAGCCTCCTTGCTTGCTGTGACTCTTCGAGGAGAGCCATCCAGGACAGCCATGGGCATATTTAATCCACGATCTGCATGCTGCAGAGATCTGGTATGAGCCTTGTGTATGGCTGGTCCGTATGTATCTCTCTGCACCAAAATCTTCCTGCCATGCTAATGCTATACAATGGCACGTGGCCCCTACACATCACCTGGACTTCTGAGCCCAGTTTTAACTGCCTGAAAGATCTTGTGGCACAGACACACAATTCTGATGATGAGCATCATCACTGAGAAATACATAAAAGACAGGTTAGACATAATTGTTGATTTTAATGAGGTATCAAGCTATCCCTAAAAACTTTGCTGAATAGGTACCAACTGCAACTCATTTTGAGAAATCATTCCTGATTCTGCCTGAATACAAAAAACAAAAAACAACCCACTGTTTTTGAATTCTTTTATTATTGAAATTATATAACTGTCTCCTCACGGGTTCACACTGTTCACACACAAGGCTTCACTCAAGTACATGGCAGAGCCCTATAAAGTCTGGGATTCTGCTATTTCACGTTAAGGCCTATGCTTTTTTGCAGTGCAGAGAGGCAGCAAGGTATCCTGTTTACCTTTCCAAGGCACCAGGAACTCAGCACTGGACAAATAAGTTTGTTTTGTGCCGTCCTCCTTTAAGGTGTTTTGCTTTGGCACACTACGAGGATGGGGGTGTTTTAGAATCAGTTCAGAGAACTCTTGCAGCAGTGTGTGGCCAAGTTACCTCAAAGTTACGTTAACCCTGTGTTTAGCAACGCAGGCTTTCCTCATTGACAGTAAATTGTTTCTTGGAATCTAGACCCATCCTGTCTCATGCACTAAGGACAGAGCCACGAGTCATAGAGGATGTTCTTTTCAGCTAGGTAGATAGAAAACACACAGGATTCTTACCGAATGGTGGCTGCTTTCATTTTGATGTTTCTGCAGCTCTCTCTAGTTATTATATTCAAACTGAGCAGCAGTGTTCACAGTATGCTTGCCACAAGAAAAACCCATAGAGGACACTGGTCACTTCATTAATATATAGTCATAGAATATCCTGAGCTGGAAGGACCCATAAGCATCATTGAGTCCAACTGCTGGACATCTTGGCTGTTAAGTCACTCAGAAAATCCTTAAAACTTTTTTTTTTTTTTTTCCCAATATAGATTTTTAATTGCATAAACAGACTGGCATCAAATGTCTGAAGCTTTTCGTGCATTGTCAGATTGTGTGTTGCTAATGCAGAAGATGACTGAAAATTCCTTCACCCACTCTTACTTGTGGTGGTCAATATTTTGTCCTAAAAATAACACGCACATGTAACAAAGCACTCACCTATATCTTTGGCTCTTGAAGCTAAAGGTCTTCTCCACTGGGTGACAAATTTGTATGCATCAAGCCTAATTTCGATAATATTGTTAAGTAAGGCCAGAAGTGGTGCCAATGGAAAAGCTGCCACAAAAATGGTTGTGAATCCAAACTGAAGAACTAGGAAAGAAAGGGAAAGGTCACAGCGTAACTGTCAAGCTCTAATTTTAAGGGCTAAGAGGGTGAAGTATCTCACATACAAACATCACTTACTATGCTGTACCATACAATAGTCTAGTGACTTTTGTGCAAAACTTCCTTGCTGAAAGTTCAGAGTGAGGATGATCAGAAGAAATGCATGCATGTCTATCCCTGAGATGAAGTGCAACATCTAGAATTTTTAGCTGGGAAAGAAATTTGAAGGAAATTTGAAGGTAGACAAACTTTTTTTTTTTTTTTTTTTTTTTTTTTAAGAAATTGACATTGTTACTGCAGCATCAATTAGGACATCTGAATACTTGCATAGATTACAGCATAAAGTACTGGTGGGCCGTTGTTTGAGACCTTATGTAAGTTTCTAGAGCTAGGTCTTCAGATTCCTAAATTTTGCATTACTTTGAAAAGAATTGCGTGAGAGAGAAAAGAGAAAAAGCAAACCAAAAAACCCCAAACATTCAAGATATACACAGTTCAGTCACACAGGGCCAAAGTTTTTGTTCTTTGACATTTGTTACAACAGTTATCCTCCTCTGCAATGCCACTGACAGGCAGTAAGTGAGGTAATTTCAGATAAACAAGCTGTTCCACATAGTTTTAAATAAAAACCCAAGGGAACTTCCTTGAGCACAAATCAGCAAAGAATTTCAGAAACATATACAGGTGAAGGGTTGCAATGTAGAAAGCAACCTTCCCCATACAAAGCCAGAATCAGAAGTGTTTCATAAACATGGGGTTAGCAAACCAAAAGCACTGTGGTTAGCTACACTGACTTGGTTTTGTTCTCATAAATTCACTCCCATTCCTCACCTGACCCGTAAGAATGAGAACCATTTTGTAGCCTCCTTAGCTTCATACAGCAATTTCTAAGAGAGCACACCGACTCACATCAACAAAAAACAACATTAAAATCTACTGAAGGGAGAGAAATAATGTCAGTGCCATACTCATTTCTAGGTATTCATCAAACAGTCCATAAGCATTCATAGGCTGCAGGTTGTAGTCCTTTTCCCACTGTGGGAAGCTTGTTTTTCTCTGTGTGCCATACTCTTGCCGTAGTTTTCTTCTGGTCCACCAATTTTGAATTAGCCTATTTGAATAAATGAAAGAAACAAAGTAAACAATGTTATTGGCTATTCATAACTCAACTGGAAGAGGCTAAATGTGCACATACCTTGAAAATATTTTCCAATGCACAGGAAAATATAGCATTGGTTATATATGAGGCTGATGACAGTATAATAGGTATAAAAACAGATAAGGCTGATGGGCTGTTATTCAGGTCTACACATTATTAAAATGAAAAGGAGATTTTGACATCTTTTTATTACCTCTTTTTGCCTACATAAAATTACTTCAAAGCCTTTTTATAAGGCAAAATGCAGTGTTGCATAGAGATAGTTAAGCTCTGAACAAGAAACTATTAAACAGCTTCTAATGCTGCTTGATCTCTTCCTGTATGTAAGGTGGGGAAGGGTAGGGAAGTTCTGCACTAGAGTTGCCTCCAAATCATGTTCTTTGCAGAAATGATTGAATTCTTTCATACAAAATGGAAACAAAACATGCTTGGCTGCAGCATTTCAGGGCTAGAGAGGAGATGTGAAAGCTGGAGAACATCTATTTCTCCCACAGAATGAGTTTAAGCTTCTCAGCATTACTGCAACGGTGATTTGCACTGTGACTCTAAAGAGAAGGGACTGATTTACAGTAGTTTATTCCTATTATAGCACTTGTTCTTAAACAATCTCCTCCTATTTACTTCTGTCAACTTCTGTAATCTTCTTCAATGCTCATTATTAGGCTTCAATATCCCTATTAATAAGTAGGAGAAAGATCTAATGGAAACTGACAAAAGAGGAAGGGAGTGGAAAAAAGGATCAATGCTACTGCTACTGCTGCTGCTCCCCTCTTCCAACCTCAGCTGCAAAATCCTGACCAGCAGCGCTAGATGCTGACTGGGGAAGATGGATGAATAGTGAATGCTGAGTACCTTGATTGTCCATTACACCATGCATTTAAATCATTCACCCCATTCTCGTTATGGCTGGGTGTGATCAGTGCTGAGGCTGCCTAAAATCGCTGCTGCAACACATTCTGCAGCTCAGGGACCAACCTCTGAGCTAGCTCTTCTGTGGATCCTGCAGTGATGCAAATCCCTCCAAGCTGCAGAAGTTGACAAGGGCAAACTTTCTGACAATGTCAGCTCTCTCTTATGTTTTCACACTTGCTAATTTCCCTTGATGACCTGCCACGCTGTCTCTAGCATCAACTGTCTCTATTAGTCATACTCATTAAATACTAATCAATGAGAAATGAACCAATAGGAAATGAATAATTGTTAGCCTTTTTAGCTAGGGCACAGCTCCACAGTGCCCAGATCACCAGGGGACATATCTATATACCAGTCAGTACATTTTTCTGGCTCTGAAATGAATATGCCCACAATGCATTTTTATTTTTTTTCCCCCCAGCTCAGACCTGTCCTTTCAGGCATCTTTTATCACTCAGCAAGGAGAAATCCAATTTAGAACTTCCTGACACAGATAAAAGATGGTACATATAATATTACTTGTGCAAGGCAAACTGTTGTCTTACAGATATTTTTTCAGAGTTTAAAAAAACCAAATACAATATAATTAAGTACTTCCCACATATTTAGTTGTTAGTATTGATATTGCACTTTCAATTTTGCAATCTATGTTTAATATCAAAAACCCAGAGCACCAGCTATCTGAAAATCTAACTGAAGAGCTCCCTACTCAAAGGGATACTTTCTTATTCTTATAGCAAATCTACCCCGCTTTTATGTAACAGTTCATAAGGAAACAGTAAACTTGGTCACAAATTCTGTGATCTACAAAAACATCAGCACTAAGTTTACTTACGGGTAGCCCAGTTCCATGAAATTATTCCAGGTCTGCTTTAGCACCATTATGATACCCATTTGCATACAGAGATCAATAAGGCATCCACTAGGGTGGCACTACAGTAAAAAAAGAAACAAAAGATTTAATAGAAGTAATGCTCAGTTTAAATTATTTCTTAAAAAGCATAAATTAATATTTGATAATTTACTTAAGGGAAATGAAGTGCTGTTTTCTTTATGATTATTTTTTTAAATATAGACTCATGGGAGCATATGAAACTGTATCGTACCATGAGCCCTTTAAGTCTGTCATCTAATTCTCTGCAGGAGTCAGATGCAGCTGAAACAAATAACATTTTCACACTAGAACTGCTAATAAGTTTATGGCAGTGGGTAAGATAGAGGCAAAAGCTAACAGATTTCTCCACTGATTACAGTAGGGACTGACTATGCCTCAAGTCAAAAAATGAAGAGAAAATTCCTCCTGGCTGTACATGTGAAGACTTTATGCCTAGAGGCTAGTCCTAATATTGTCTATTAAGTACTTAATGTATGGCTGAGTGAACTCCTCAAAGCTATTCTCTTCTTGAAGATCTACAAATCTCAACTAGCAGTTCTCAACATCTCTTGCAGTGTGCTTACTTGCTTTAGTTGTGGCTCCAGGCCTTGAGGAAGAATGCTCAGCTAGTAACAATTTAGGTGTTGCCACTATTTTTAGTTTTAGTATTGGAAGAAATAGAAAAGTGCCAAAAACTTTGCAGATCCAAACAGTGGAGCCTGAGCTGTATTAAGTCCTGGGTATTATGGATAAGTGAAGCAGATTGCTGCCACAGAACTGGAACGATTTCTTTTTAGGTTTTAAAGAGAAAAAAATGGCATTAGTTATGACATCTAGCAAAATGCAGGGTGAATTTCTTACTCATACTCTGCATTATAGTTCTCAGAGCCAGGGCTCCTTCTGAGGTTTCTGTTGACCTCATTTAGCTTCTCTTTAGATTAACAGGGTAGCAGATCGATTTTTTTTTTTATTATTATTATTAATTAACTTCACTAGCATCATTATTAAATTATTAACCTTCTATTTTTAGGAATAAGTCACACAAGAAAGGAAAGTGAAGTAGCAGTGATGTTACATCCATAACACCACCAAAATACTATGTATGCTGTGGTGTGGATATATTTAGGAGAATTTGACCAAAGTATATCATGCTATCCAATGTCTTGCACTTGTCTTCATCCAATAGGTGAAGAGAGGGCAATTGGAGGGATATCTAGGCATTATATTCTAAAGCCTGTTCCTAATATGGCTTTTTATGGATATGGTTGATAAAGTTAAGTCTTCTTTATTAGACAATTCTTAATAAACATTTTTTTTTTTTTTTTTACTCTGACCCAACCTATAACATGTCATTGTAACATGTCACTGCTGCACCTCACTCCCAAACTTCATTCTTCCTTCCTTCCCTTTCTGTTCCTGCAAGTGTCTCCCATGCCCTGATTCTACTGTGAGCTGATTCAGCCCAGTAACTTAACAGAAAAAAAAAAAAGATTTCACCAGGAAAAGAAAGAGTTTCCTGCTGATACAGGAAACTGACACAGGGTTGGAAAAACACCAGAGTCAGTGCAGAAGAGGAAGGAGCAAGCTTCTGGGGAAGGCTCAGAGTAAGTGTAGAACTGACCTCTTTTTGCAGTAGCAAGCTGTTAGGTCAACTTGGTCTCTCTCACACTTTGAAGGTATGTTCAGTCTGTCTGTCCATTTACCACTTATTCTTTTAATGTACAGAATTCACTGCTTTGAAATTACGATGGCTAATTATTCATTTTTTGCTACTTTTGGATGATTTACATTAACCAAAATACTCAGATGTCTGGAATTATTTGTAAATTCATGTTGGCAGTGAAAAGACTTGCATTGTTTTGCCTGCCATTTGTCATGCATTTGTAAAATGGTTTTCTATCACTCATCTCTAAAGTAAGAAAAATTTCAGAATAAAAGGTTGTAAGGTTCATATCAAACAGACCCATTTTAAGGATGAAACATTTCCAACATGAAAATACAAATAAAGGAGAAACTGTTTGATACAGAACTCCAAATGTGCTCAGACTGAAACTGCAGTGCTACAATGCTAGCTAGCATTGTAAAGGGCATGCGTGTTAATATACAGCAGTTTTAGTAGCAGGTGGTGAAATGCTGGTATTGTGGAGTTTGAGAACAACAGAAAATCCAACACCACATTCAAAGATACCTGGATAGAGTTTTACATCTGCCTCTGCTTGCATTCACTGCAGCTGTAGGCAGCAGATAAATCTGTATCTTGTTTCAGGAGCACAAGAATAAGCAAGCACCCACCTCTTCCAGTCTCCACCGGTTTATCAGCCTTAGGTAGGCTCCAGGGTGTCCTGTAAATCTGTAACACATGAATATACATCAGTGATGTTGCATGAGCAGTCTATTTACAGCAGTGGAAGAAAGCTTACACTGTTGTTTTAATCTATTGTTACTTTAGCATGATTAACTACAAAGGACATTGCAAGAGAAAAAGATCTGGGGATTCCTGGAATAATTTACATGAAGGGCTAAATATATTTTTACTTCCAGTTTTATGTGAACATGAAGTATTGTGCTGTTTGATGCTTAACGTATGCAAATCAAAGAGAAAGTCTGAGTGAAACAGTTTATGTCTATTTGGAAAATGGCTTTCAAATGCCAGCTCATTTTCTTACCCAAATTGTGGTATCTGCCTTTCTGTGAAAGCAGTGAAAATATCAGTTTTCACTTGGAAAATATTATTTTCTTACAGTTCTCTCATGATGTTGCCCAGAATCATTCCCAACATCCCACATGCAAATAATCCACACTGATAGTTTATCAATCTCTACCAAAAGGCTTTTCTTTTGCTTGAAGGGGGCTTGCAGGAAGAGGCATACAAATATATACATATATTTTTCTTTTTATGCAGAAGAAAGGTCTGATTCTCTGGTAATAGTACAAATCTCATGAAAACAAAGCAGCAAAGTATTCAGTACTCAGAAAGAAAAAAAGCTCAGTGTTAAATTATTTATTTAACTGTACAAATTACCCACATGAAGACAGAGCAAAGTGGTTTGCACACATATTACTGGGGATGGCCTCAGTTTCCAGTAGTGAAATTGGTAGGAGTTAGTGTTAAGGTAATCTGGTGCTAGGAAATTAAAACCACGTCTGTTTCAGGGCTTTGGAAAAGAAAATAAAACTGTAATGTTTCCTACCTTGCTATTGTGAAATTTGCATTTTAGGATGTGTGACAACACAGTACCATTTTGTTTCATTGGAGACAATTTTATTACTCCTCTCTATTTCATTTTGTGACTACGAGGATGCAGATATCAATCCTACCTTCCAAGGAAGAATGCTATATAAAAGGTAGAGCTGTTCAGGTTGACAAACTGAAAAAGAAACATTTTCAATGTGAAGCTGTTCTCCCACTCAGATTCTGTACGAGGCTGCTCTGTGAAAAAAGAGAGCAGAGTTTGAGAGGTTTAATCAGATTAACAATTTTGCTTGGCACAAAGGATGTAGACACCCATCTGAGCTGGCAATGTGTTTGTAAATTAGCCTGCTGATTTTCTTGTACAAACTGACAGTAGAAATTGTATCCAAAAGAAGTGCACAGCAAGCTAGCTTGCAAAGACTCTGAAATCTGTTCTGATATCTGAATAGGTATATTCCCAGGTATAACTGCAAGATAATGTGTGTATTCTTACAAGCTCGTTCTGTTCTCCCATTTCCAGCTCTGCAATCTACCAAAACGACACAGCTACAAGCTGTGTAAGCACCTTCTTGCTAGAGATGTCACACTGAAATGAAGTAAATAAGTAGATCTTCTTTGTGGTTCTGTTTCAGGGTTGTGCCCATCTTGCAGTGGGCACCTAAGGGCTCTGTACAGGCATCAGCAGAGAGCCACTTTCCTTGTCCCAGGGAGCTCCTCACAGAACAATGAGAAAAAACAGGATGGATGAGACAAACAGGAAAGAGGTAGACCATATGTCTTCTCTTCAGCTTGGCCCTTAATCTCCATTTAAAGAGCAATCAAGACATGAGTTAACCAAACAACTACTACGCCAACACACTAGTACCATGGCCTGCAACTGCTTTCCAGTTGGCATGAGCATGTTTATTAGTCATCTGTTGCTGTGAACAGAAGTAATCAGAAGAAAAGTAGAGGTAGTAATGGTGGTACCATGTATCATAATGGTAATACCTGTATATGTACTTCAAAAGGAATCTCTATTAAATTACAAGCAAAAAAAAAAAGATAAACTAGGTTCTGTTTGTTTGGAGACATTCCACCCATGAGGAAATGTTTCAGACACCTGAACAAAACTGTGGAATAGACTATTCATCAACAACTGCTCTAGTGATTTGGAAATGCCTGTCAAGAACACCAGGTCTGTGCATGCTACTACATACATATTGCAGCTAAGCAGAAGGAAATGAAAGATCAGAGATTTTTGATGCCAGCATGTGTTGACTTTAACATGGCTGCTGCAGCTGAAGCTTTGCTCATATGACTTTCTAAGAGAATGGCAAAACTCTGGAGCAACATGGATTTGAGTTCAGAAAAGGTGATGTAATGGCTGAAGAAGAACATCCTGACTGTCCTTTCAATTCCACTCTGAGCTTATTACACTGATAAAGATCATTCAAATGAAATTTATGCCACTAGAGTAAATAAATAACACAATAGAGCTGGTCAGAACAGTGTGACCCACTGAGTCCTCACATAAGTGCAGTCTGCAGAGGCTACAAGAAGCAGACCTACCTCCACAAGAACCTGGCAGAAAGTAATTAAGCTTCAAGGTCTCTACATTATATCCTACTGTCCACAGGATGTCACAGGGAATAAAAGGAAATAGCCCATGCAAATTACATACTTGAAAGTCATTTTTCTCAACTGTGACTAGTAGGTGTCTTTTCCAAGGAAAGAGGATGGCAGCAATATTTTGAATTCAAGATATAAAAAAAAGGACTCTCAATCTAAGAAACAACAGAATAAAATTCTACCTTAGACACATTTTGAATATATCACAGATGCCTGTCTAGATGTTAAAAAGCCCCAACGCTAACTTAAATCAATTGTTTCCTCTGAGGAAATCTGTGGAAATCTGTCCTCCTGAACATCATCAATGTACACAGATAAACCCCAAGTTCAAAATAATGCCAAAAAACTTCTCATACACATGCTATTATTGGTTGATTTAATAGGCAATCATCTCATTACAGATTTCTTGACCCAAGGAGCCATTGCTAACTGCCACCAACAACTGCAATCTTCCAGAGCAATGAGGATCTTCAAAGACTCACTAACAGTCCATTACTACCCTAGTATGTGCTGACTGTAAAACCAAGCACATTAGCCTTACTCTAGTGTCTTTAAGGCTGATCTGAAAAGTTAGTTAAACTTAGAATACCACTAGAGTTTGAGTGTTGGTAAAAGTTGATGAGACACCTAGTTCTTTTCCCTCCCAGTTACTGACCCTCCTGAAGGAATATGTCTGAGAGTCCTTAAGCAACTTATTTTCAAGCAACAACTGTTGCTTCCAAGAGATTCCTGTGAAAGTTTTGAGTGCTCAGTCTCTGAAAACTTCAGTTATACTTTTGTCCTTGTGGTAACACTTCAACTTTTTACAAGGTAAGGGGCTGGAACAAGAATTAAGGACTGCAGGTGAGTGATTCTCACTGTTGCTAATTCAATTGCACTACAGCTTAGTTTATAATACTACTTCATTGTAAACTTAAGAAAATAATTAATTCCTAATAGATTTAAAATTAATCAAGACTTCCCATACAGACAGTTGGAGTGCTGTCACAGCATTGGGACAAAAAAAATCAACATAATATTAAATTTTGTATTTAACATCACTTACCTAAATTTGTCAGGAAAAGAGCAACCTTTTCATACAGCTGAAACAGAGAAAAAACAGTCTCTTAAATATGTGGCCAGCTCAAAAATATAGTACTGTTTTCTAGATAATTGCTTTTACCTGTTAGATCTGACATTCAGATTGATCCCTGTCACATTCTGATAATGACTGTAATAAAACTATAAAACAATAATACCACAATTATATAATCAATCACGGAAAAGTAATAATTGCAAGCTTATATTCAGCTCTTTTCATCTACAATACATACAGGAAAAGTGCTGTCAGTGTTCCTATTTTACATACACAGTGAAAAAGAGTTTAACAATTATTTCAAAACCACAAAGCAGAGCAATAGTGTTTTTGTTTTAGTTATTTGTGGAACATTATCACACAAATAAAAACACCCCACTAAGAGTATTCTTTCACTTTCCGCGGTATTTTTAATTATTTATGTGCTTCTTTGGTGCTGGGATGAATGAAAGTTACTGGGGAGAGAGGGTTCTTCACAGAAAGCCATTAGTAGTCCTCATAGAAGGTTTGGGTTGGAAGGGACCTTTAGGATCATCTAGTTCCAACCCCCATGCTATAGGCAGGGACACTCCCCACTAGACCAGGTTGCTAAAAGCTCCATCCAGTCTGGCCTTGAATGCTTCCAGGGTGGGAGCATCCACAACCTCTCTGGACAACCTGTTCCAGTGTCTCACCACCCTCACAGTCAGGATCTTCTTCCTAATATCTAGTCAGAGACATTTTTTGGCTGATCTCAGTGACATTGTTCTAAATCCTAAGTGGCACTTACAGATGTTAGCAGGAAGCAAGGTCTCCAGCTCTCTGTGAGACTGCTAATTTAATAAAGCTTACAAAAACTAACTTGGAGGATTTCCACAGTTGATATTTGCAAAGATTTTCTGAACCCATAAAATACATCACCACCATCAGTATAAACTAATGCAATCAGTTCAGTTTGCTTTAAATGAGGATAGGGCCCTCCTGCAACATGTTAAATGTCCTTAACTCTCACTGATGCCTACAAGGATACCAAAATCCTCATACTTCAGGCTCAAGTACTTATTCCTAGAATATGTATAAGCAACATTTCATTACATTTGCAGTTATCCTTATAAAATGTTACTTAAATTGAGTTATGTACAATTTATGGATCAGACTGCTTAAGACCTGAAGTTATCCTGAATTATCTCATCCACGCTAACAACCACTTCTTGTTGTCAACAGCTTTTTAGTACCTTTGGTGTAAATAGCTTTGATTCAAGTAATAAGAAAGATGGTTTCTTCTGGGTTTAAAATAATCTCCTAAGGGCAACTGTGGAAGTGCTAAATGCCTGGGTAGTTTATATCCCAATCCCAGCAGGGACTACACTGTTTTATAAATGTACATTGCTCTGCAGATGTGAATATAAAAATTCTGTGCTGTTATTGTTCCTCATAGAACTGTAAGATTGTTAGAGATTCCATTAACAACTTCAGGACCAGATAATCTACTACTGCAATTTATCACTACCAGTCCCACGGAGCACCATTTAGGATCATGTTTCTTTGTTCATATTTCCTACGGACAGGATCATTGGAATTAACAGTTTTATCAACCTAGGTAAATCCAGTGGTTGTTTCCAGGTCAGGCAGCATGGCTGCCTGGAAGCCATTACACTTGAAGGTCAGACCATTCAGTCACAATGGATACGGCAGTGCATTTATCTTGCTCCCAGAGCTTCCAGCCTAGAAGTTACCTGTAGTCCAGACCTTTTCCCTGATGTTTAGAGAGGTTGTCAAGTTGCATTAGAATTCCTGGCTGCATTAGAACACTGGCTGTTTTCCAGGCTCTACAGCAGTGAGTTCCCTACTGCTATATAGATCTTGGTCCATTTTGGTTTCATTACTCTGTCTTAGCTTTCTTTCCTACGGCTTTTCTTGAGTCACAGTTTGTATATGAGTCAACTACCCAAATGCTGATGTGAAAAAAGAGAGTTTTTTTGTTGTTGTTTTTTTTTTTCCCCTAAAGAAATCCTACTGCTGCACTTCAGTAAACTACATTCATCCATCATGGGAAGTAAAGGTTTGTGTTTGTAACTCCTCTTACTAATTCAGCTAAATGCAGTTTCATATTCTGGGGTTCTTTTCTTTCCATGAGCCCATATCCAGTTCTGAGGCTGCGGTGCTTATTGCATGGTAATGAGCATAAGGCTTCAGCAATGCATCTTTGTAGTGCTCTATTTATTTACTTTCGGAAATAAAACAAAGTTTCTCGAAAGGCACCTTCAAGCCATCTTCCATTATTTTAATAATTTCTCTAAGCTGTAGAACTCTTTGAGAACCAAATATTTTGTTTGTGCATTATTGCTTTGTTGCTGCTTCGCTGCATACACAATGGCTTATATTGAGAGCTTAGAAATGGATGCTGTACTGACACACAGGTATACAGTTTTCATTTTATTTCTTCTATGCTTACTGTGTGCTCTAGGTAGATTAAAGAAAATCCCCAAAAGCTGCAGACAACAAACAAGAAATCAAAAATAGCAGAGAAGAAAAGAGTCCCTAGTACAAATTCAAGGAGAAAAACAGCTTCCACCATTTATTTCTGGCTTTGCTCAACCTGTTGTCCCACCTGAAGGAAAATATAGTCCTAATCACCAGTCCTTGCCAATGCTAAGGGAGAACTGAAGTCCTGCAGCAAAGCTTCCCAAAACCTCCTGCTTTATAAAACAGGGGCTGTTAAAATTAATTTTTTTTTTATTATGAAATTCTTAGGTATTGCAAAGGCAAGAAAACAGTTTGCAAGCCAGCACTCAGGAATGTGCAGGCCTGAAATAACACCTCTATAAATTGTCCAGAACAAAATTAGTGTTATCTCATGGAGCAAAGCCTGGTATGCTTTTGTCAGAAAACTCGTGCCACTGAGTGCACAGAGGAATTCTGCCCTGCATCCAGGACCTGCAGATTTGTAGGCTGATTCTTTCTTTTCCTTAAAATGTATTCTTACAATGGCAGCTTACAAAGAACACAACCTGAGAGGAAAAGGCCATATATATCTTGCTAAGAACAACTAATATAAGAGTACTACTGCTGCTACCGCAGCAATATTCAGAAGTATCTGCATCTTGATGGAATTCTGAAAGTCTTTTCCCATTTAATCTACTGGGGCTGTTGCCACGTGGAAATATCACTTTCTTCTCCATCCCAAGCCAAGTTCCAAACCACCTTGTGTGTCCACAGTAAGGCAACCTCAGCCAGCACCAGGATTCCAGTGCACCCATACTACAGCTCTGCAGTACCCTGGTAAAGGTCATAAGCAACTCTTGTAACAAGTTGTGTCTCCTTGAGTCTCACGTACTTTTCAGCCCTTCCACTTATAAGCATTCTATCTGTACATGCCTATCCTCACTAGTAAACTAGCATGAAAACTGAAGCTGAAATGACAGAAACTAGTTTAAATAAGAAATAAGCTTGGCTACTGTATATAAAAAGGAGCATTGAAATAATTATTACAAATAAGAAAACTAATTAAAGAGATTGAGGTCTGCAAGCATTAAAAATAAAAGGCAAAGGATAAAATATGAGCATAGACAAGTGCCCCTAAGATATTTTTTAGAATAATCAAGTAAGCTTTAGATAATGTTTCGGAATTGTACATAACATAAGTGGTGAATGACATCCATCAACAAAAATGTCAGCCCAGCTTAGCAATGCACTGTGTAACCTCCATTCCCACTGAAGTCAGGACTTGAAAGTATTTGAGTGTACTCTTCAGACTGAGATATCAACCAGTGTGGTGGCTCACTTTGGATATGTTAGCTTTACTCACCACATTCAGTAGCATGATGATGCAAAAGTTGATGCACACTGCAGTCCCTGTCGTTGCAACCTGAGAGTTATTCCTGATTAAAGCCCACTTGAAGGCAGCAAAAGTGCTGACTGTCACAACGCGGTAAATAACAATGCCAAAAACAGCAGCAATCACCACACAGATCTAGAGAAGAACAAAAACAACAGAGGGAAGAACCTGAAAACTTCTTTCTAACTAACTTCTTTCTGCAACTCTGAGAACTAAAGAAATGAAGAGAAAGACTTGGAAAATATGTTAACTTTGGTTCTAGAGGAAGGCTTTGACATGAATGTTCCTCCTATTGTGAATTCTTTTTAATTTTTCATAATGAAATTTCATAATTTCATACCTCTAAAATCATATTAAAATGTATTTTTGTTTTAAGCATTTTCTTCATATTGTATCTTCTCATTAACATTAGTGTGGAAAACAGTATTTTCAGCTCTGGGAAATAGGAATTTTCCTTACATGCTTCCTTACATGTTTCACGATGTGCAATTGTTAGTCTCCACCAAATGTACCAATATAATGATGTCATATTTGGGATTGAATTTGTGCTTTGGTGCAATTCACAGGGAAAATATATCTCCAGTTGTAAGCAGTTCCTCAGAAACAATCCTAGCAGGATCCTCTGTTTCTCACTACAGTTTTGGAAAGAGTCTATCTGAGGAAAGTAAGAATTTCAATCGCCCTGGTAATTTTCTCTGATGAGACTTTCAGCAAACGTGACAGTTCCAGTGTGAAAGCTGTGCAGCTGATCCAGGCTGCAAAATCACTTGATGTTCCATATGCAACAACTGAGAACTAAGTGACAACTGTTTTCCATCATGACCAATTCACGTCACTGTTTAGCAAAGCACCTGAAGGACAAAGGGTTGGGAATAACATGTGTGACTCACACAAATGATGGCACAGTACTGTTATCTCTCTTGTTAGAGTTTCTTCAGAAGAAGCTCGGTGCATTCTGAGGGTGTGCAGAAGCAACTTACACCTGTCAAAACTAGAGCATATCTAAGCTAACTGAATAGGCAAAATGACTCTGAAAATACTGAAGACTAACCAAGTTGTTTTTGCATTTTTTAAGTCACGTTATTTGACCCAATCTCTGTGCAGAAGGAAAAGAAAAGTTGCGTGTGTGTGAATGCGAAGGGTTAGTTTATTTGATCCACTGCTTCCACGCTGGCAGCCAATAGAAACATTGTGGAGTTACTGAGCTAGAGGATTGCCTCAGGACCCCCTGCACAGTGGTAAGTTGTTTTCCTCTCCTTTGGTAACAGGGAATCATTAATCTGGTTCAGGCTGCATTTATAACTGTACTGTGCGTCAAAGCTCTGAGATTTTGAGAAATGTTTGAATAGTTTTGATAAATATATCTCCTGTGCTTAAAGCTAAACTTTTAAAGGGATATTTTTACCTAAAAGGGGGAAAAAAAAGCATTTTTCTAGCTCACTGGAAGCCCATGCTATGTCAACATTAAAAGTGCCTTCACTGAAAATAACCTTTGTCTTGATTCAAGTACTGTTATACAGAAGACTTGTGGAGCATAAAATTCAGAGCTAGGCACTCTGGTACTTTCAGCAACAGTTTCTGGGCTGCATCACCTACCTGACTCTCCACAGTTCCTCAAGTTATATTCATTTGGCATTTTCTAGCCATGTAGAAAAACCCTAGTAAATTCAGCCTGGGTCCAAGTTAATCCCAACTGTGTTTTCAAGACAATCCTACTGCTACAGCTGTTACATGAATGATAGCAAGTAGCAGGCTCCACCTCCTCCATGGCACCTCTCCATCACTCTGCACTATCTACATGGGGAGGATGGTGAAATTCAGTCAGCTGAATTTGATGCCTAAATGTGATATCACTGTTCCAACAACTGTATAGTTACATATAGATCTATGCATATAGCCTTAATATTACTCCTACATCTGGACCTTGGAGGAAAGCTTTAACTAACTGTGAGGCTCAGTGAAGAGTAAATTAGTGTGGACTTTACAGAAACTCAGGACATCTGTTGTGCATAGATTTTCAGCCTGCAGTAAACATGCTAAAGCTTATTAACTTTCAAGCAGTCATAACCAGTATCTCCACACTCTCTCAGCAGATATTATGTTATTTTGTGTTTTTTTAAACTGGTAAATAGATAAAAGTTTTCAAACCATAAAAAATATTCCAGATGCAGAAACGATGAGTCTGCTGCATTTATCTGCAAATGCTTGATAAGGCTCTGGCTTTCCGGATATGGGGTTCATTCGTTCTTTCTTGGAGTACTTGGCTTCAAACTGCGGACGTATCTCTTCCTAAAAAACAGACAGAAAGTGTTCATGCACAGCATGGCTAGGAAAGGGTCTCTAGGAAACCTCCAATCATTTTTCATATTGCTGTTACTGAGAATTACATCTTTGAATTCAGCAGCTGGCACAGCTACTAAAAAAGCTGAGCTGGGACATCAGGTACCCGTCATGAGGACTCAAATACATTGCTATACCCACAAAACCATATTGGAAGCATTTAGTAAACTCCCCAATTGGCTACTTGTTTAAATAATGCTTTTCCAAACTATATGGCTGCAAGCCATGTTATTTCAAGGTTCATATCATGGGTTTTTCCAGCCTGGTTTTATCCTACTGATACCAGAATTTTACAACAATGCAGGGGAAAAAAAACAACACCTAATTTTTCCAAATCCAATTTTTGCTTGCTAGGTGGTTACCTCCCCATTACAAGCACAAGATTCTCATTATTTGAAGCCATGCATTTCAGTATTTCTCAAATCCTTCCTAACTCGGCCAATATTAATAGCAGAGCAGTTTGAGTCCTGCTTTGATGTAATAACTTTCTTCTGAAACAAAACCTGGGGATTTCTTAGTCTGAGACTTACTTACAACTGTTCACAGTCTTTTTAGGGGACAGAGCAGGATTCACCCTCATTTCACAGAAGTCCTCATGGTTTCTATTTGCAGTACAGACACCCCACTGCCCTGCCATCTCTTCCATGTCTGGCATCAGGGATGCTGCCAGAGACAAGGGAAAGCACCAGGCTGCTAGGATGGACTCACAGCTACCGGCAGACTATACAGACTGGATTAAGTTTTACAGTGCTCTGACGCGTGCTGGCTCATTGTACAGCTGGCTGTACAACAGAGGTGGCTACTGACTCACTTTGTAGGTTTTCTGCCAAGCTTTTACTGTGTTCTTCATTGTGACTTTGGGTAAGAGCCCAGATCACTGGTTTCCTTCAGTCCCAACAGATCAGTGGCCCTTTCTGAAAGCCAATGATTATGGCTATAGATTACTCATTCTAATAGCTTAGAAATGAGCAGACTTCGAATGGTTACATCGAAATAGGTGGATGTTATCTGATCATACAAGCCTTTAAAATGTGAATAAAAACAAGATATCTCAAAGTCATACACTCCTTTTATAAAATTCCTCAAAAAAAAAAAAACCCAAACCAACTATGTCTCAGTCTCAAATTCTGAAGGCATTTTCTCAAGCCATGTGATTTCCAAAATCAAACAGCAAGAGGATAACCTTTTATTTAAATAACGATGATAGTCACAAATGCTCAGCTGCAATGTCTGTGTAACTATGCTTGGGGGAACAAGCCCTACATTAGCCAGTAGTTGAGCCAGACAAGCTAATATATCTTTTCTCGCTCTAATGCTATGATTAAACTCACAGAAGCAAAATTTGCTTGTGTAACTATATTAGGGAAAACGAGCATGCAACGAGGCATACAGGAAATAAGCTTCTGAACCTTGGCATAGCAAAACTTATTTGGGATATACGCAAAAGTATACTTTTCTGTGGAGGGAGCATACACTTACTCTTTCCTGCTCACACTGTTCCTGCCATATCAGGCCAGAAGGCCAATGAGAAGACCAGAATCTACCAAGAGAAACAATACAAGTAGTATTCCTGTGTACCCACGGACATCTGAAAGGACACAATGTGATGGCATAGTAGAAGGGCACCTGACAATTGCATTCTGTAGACTGTGCAGGGAATCTCCATCTGACTTAATGAGTCATATGCAAGAAACCCCTTTATTCTCCGCAGGTCTCTCTAAGCCAGTGTTTGATTACATTTTACAATCTGCTCTATAAGGAAGTCTTATTGTATACATCTCTTCATGAACCTAGGTATCTTCTACAACCTACAGTCAATTCAGATCATGCAGATGCTATTTTTATGGATAGATCACCACACAAAACTGAATATCTGGTAGCAACCTTCATACCTGTTTAATGACACTCATTGACAGTCCTGTATCTGGCTGAGATTAATTATCTACAGAAAGTGGCAATGAAGGAAAAAAAAAATTCCACTGCGAATACTGACAGAAGGCATATCTCAGCTCAGGGTCCCAGGCACACTGCGCAGTTGGCTTCCTGTTGCACACTCAAGACAAGACCCAGCTACTATCCGTGTCTCCCACCTTGCACTAATTTACAAGGAAAGGAAATTCAAAGGTGCAGAGCTGAAAGAATCACAGCACATTGTGCCTTTGCCCCCAGGGTGGGGATCCAGACATGCCTAGAGTTGTGGCATGCCCTCCTTGGGTGAAAAGCTAACCTGGTGAGGAATTCACAAGGTCATGTATCTGAGCAGTTTGACTTCTCCTTCCTGTCATCTTCATTACTTCGTTTCTTTGTATCTTCTTTTAGAACAGAAATATGATGGCAACATTATAGGAAGTCCTATAAATCTTTTTAATTTCTATTTAATGTTGGTAGGAATTGGCAAATTTCCCTCTGCAGCAAGCCCTTATTTTTCAATTTGACAATGAAAATTAAAACAAGAGAAAGCTAGATATGGCAGAGAATGTTAATAAAAATAACAATCTTCATTAATAGAAGCTTGTGACTTAAAATGGTAATTAGAGCAGTTTAATTGATTTCTATAAAACAGCTAATAAAAGTTGGCTGATTTTGTCCAGTGATAACTAAGCAGAATGTAGAAAGGGAATCTAATTAGCTCTTAGAAAACAGCATGTTTAGATGTAAATTTTTCACCTTACAGAGGCATAGTTTTCACTGACATCTCACTGATAGGGGCTGAGGGACCTGGGATTGTTAAGTCAGGAGAAGGCTTGGGTTGGAAGGGACCTCAGGGATCATCAACCTTCAACTCCCCTGTCCCATGCAGGGCCACCAACCTCCATATCTAATACTAGACCAGGCTGCTCAGGGCCCCATCCAAATTGGCTTTGAACACCTCCAGGGATGAGCTGGAATCCCAACTTGCAAATTGTAGTTTGGTACATCTGTCTTCTGTCCTACCTGCCAGCAGCACCAGCAGTGGCTTTTTTGCAGCCAGGCATGAGGGACAAGATCACTGCAGTTCAATCCTGATTCAATATCTGAAGCTCAGGCAGGACTGTCTCAGTGTGCTCTCTTTGTGACTCATCAGTCACTGACAAGAGTAGGCTGCTAATTTCAGGAGAGGTAAATCTGTACCTGAGTATTCTCTGAACATATGAAAGCATTCCTGAACTCAGCAGCTATATGAATAAATAGTGATAGACCTGTTAATGTGAAGAAACCAATTTCCAGATGTGTTATTTAAGTTCTTGGCTTATTTTTAGTCTCTTACAATCCCTTGAAGGGAACTCTGGAGAGGAAGGAATACAGACTCTGTGGACACCTTTACATTAAAATCACACGTTAGGAGCATTTTTCCTACCATATCCTCTGAAACTTGCTTATGTCCTGCATCATAAAATCCACTTGTTCTCCATAGATATCAATTCAGTTCCTTCTTGGTAACCATTATAGGAAAAGTTTAAGGCTGTTTTTCACTTTTTAGTTTCTTAACTAATGAAATTTCTTCTACCAACAGAGAATGAATTTAGTCTTTTGAGCTGATTCATCTCCCTCCTTTTGGATTTTGAAAGGTGTAAAGAAGAGAACAGCCCCCCTTGAGAAAGTTTCTTCACATTCCAGAGGAAAAATCTAAGGAAAAAATGCTAATTTCTAGTCTATGAAGCTTTGAAAAATGTATTTAAATAAATCCAAAAGAAAACTGTGCTTACATATTTTACAAAATCTTTCTGTATTAAAGATTAGGGAGTAACTTTTTTAATACAAACCTCTTCTTCTTCCCAGTCTATCAAGTCCCAGTCATAAGCAATTACTGCTCGCCTTCGTTTCCAAAACTCCAGAAAAACAGTAGCTGTAACGAACAGAAAAAAAGCCCACAAAATTGTTTTTAAGTCAAGAAAGTGGAAAGTGCTATCATATAACTGTAGAATGAAAGTATTACATCATTTCTCTGCATAAAAAAGGTTCTTTTGAACAGGAAATCAGGCCAGTGATCAAAACAGTTTTCGAGGCGCATTGCTTTCTAAGGATTAGTCTGTTTTTGTGTCAAGTATGATTGAGGCTTTAGATTTCTTTTAGTTATAGACAAAGAAGTTTAATTTCTAATCAACTAAGTGAGGGTTCTCAAAGAATAAAATTGTTCCTGTGAGTCATCATTACAAAACGCGGCAGACTTCTGATGAAGCTAAATGTTTACTGGAGCTACTACTAGATAAAGTGGTAACTTTCCTTCTTAGAAGGTCATTTAAAATACACAGGGATCAGAATCCAGAGGAAATCACATTCAGGGGAACATGCAAATCTATGGACTGCTTGTGAGGAAACTGGAATATTTGTCTTACACTTTTCTAATCCAGATCACATCTTTTACCCTATGTGACTGTGCATACATGGTGTGGCATTAACAGATGACAGTGAAACACTGCGTGCCGGACAGCCTTTAATAACAGAGTTCAAGATACTATAATATGCTTGTACATGACTGTGCTTGCCTTCTGTAGGAGAAAGAACAACCAAGGAAGCCCTTACTCATGCAATTATACATTCATATTCTGGAGATTAATACTGAGCTTATTCGGGGTTAAAGTTTTTAAAGCTTGTTTTGATAAAAGAACGTAGAAACTGCCTAAAGCTAACTGACATCAATGGAAAGGCTTCTTCTTCAGCTTTGAGTTTTGGCTCTTGCTTTTACTGCTTACTGAAAAGCATCAGGCTGATAACCATGCAGAACATAAACCTGTCTGCCAATGAACAAGGACAGTACCCACCATTATAGTGTCACAACAACCTGGCAATGTGTTCCACACATTGTCCTACAAGGGTTTCCTTAATGGACCATCTGCCCTGCTGCAGTATGTTGGTAATGACATGCTATCATAGTAATGATAGTAAGCACTGGCATAAATTCAGTGACAGTGATTTTTTTAGCCAATAAGAATGATTATAGCTTAATGTATTAACCAGTGAAGCTAAATATATGCTTAAAAAATGAACACTGTTTGAAGATATGGTAAGATATTGATAGCAAGTTTAAGGAGGTTGTTTTGCAGTTTGAAGGCATTTTCATACATAATGACATCTTTTTTCACAAAGCTGGAGTTGCATTACAGCAGGTAACTGGCTACTATGATTTGCTATCATTAAGAAAGTCATTTTAGTCTCCTAAGGGTAATATGTCTAGGACCTTTTGTAATAATCACAGTGTGATTGCTTGGGATTGCTTGGATTGCTTACAAAACTAATGCTAATGAGGCTCTGGCGGTGCTGCTGAACCATCACATTAGCTCATTCTTTGACTTGTCTTTCGGTGGAGCTGCTTCTCTCCTGTCAACTCCTATTGATTTATTTTGTACAGGCTAAACAAGTAGCTCTGTTTTTTTTAGAGTTCTGGGAGAAATAAGTCTGATTGAACACTACCATTTCAAGACCAGCTGGAAACAGGACGCAAGTGGGTGTATGAGTCCACAGGCATGAAACTCTCAGATATGTCTATGACAAATTATACTTATTTTCTTTCTTGTTTTTCGCTCACCTGTAGTGAGGAATCTTTACACACCATACTTTGAATAGTTAGAAGCTGTCAGAGTTAGTATGTGAAGTTCCTAAAGCTTCTTTCAAAATCTGTTTTCAAATCATTAAGAGGATGATCTGCACAGTTCTGTTTTAACTTTTACTGTGCCAAACTTCCTTCTATACAGGTCAGGCAGTTTTCCCTTGCTAGATATTTTAAAATGTGATTTGATTCACAGTACTACTGATGTGTTTGAGAAAGCACTGCATTTTGAAATTTCTCTACTTCTTCTCAAGCAATCACTGAGGCCCAATTATCGTACTTTGCATTCTTTCCTGACTTTGACAGCATAATGTGACACAGCTGTATTCAATGTTCCCCTATTTTCCAATTGGGATGTTTAAACATGCTAAGAATTCTCCAAAAATCCTGCTTGGAATTTTGAATTTCTTGCTGGCCCTAACTCTCAGCTCTTTTGGCAGCTTTTTTTCTTTATTATTCTTGCCCTGCTTCAGAGCTCAGCCTCGTAACTCAAACCTCAGCATCCAAGGAAAAAGACAGGAATATTAACATCAGTCCACTGAGTCTTGAGCAAAATATTAGAATAATGAATATCTGGACTCTCTAGTTGGACTTTGCTACTGAACTCCAGGCAATATCCAGAGAGTGATATCTTGGCACTAGCTTTCCCTAGTACTCCAACTAGAAAAGCAAAATTTATGTTTCTATCCAGCTTGTCAATAGCATGCTGAAAGCCAGCTGATATATCTAGACACTCTCTTCAAATCGGAAAGATATGGATTCGATGGATAGACTGTTCGATGGACAGGGAACTGGTTGTGAGATCATACACAGAATAGTGGTGGTCAGTATCTGGATGGAGACCAATGACATGTGGTGTCCCTCAGAGATCAGTACTGGGATTCTAACATCTTCACTGAAGACACTGACAGGGGGATTGTCAGTGGTTTGTGGATGATACCAAGCTGTGTGGCACAACTGACATGTCCAAGGGACAGGATGCCATTCAGAGAGACCTAGACGGGCTCAAGTGGTGAGCCCAGGAGAACCTCATGAGGTTCAGCAAATCCAAGCGCAAAGGTCTGTACCTGGGTTGTGGCAACTCTCCCTAACAATACAAGCTGGAGGTGGAAAGGATTGAACACAGCTCTGAGAAGGACTTGAGGGTACTAGCGGAAGGCAGCTTGACATGAGCCAGCAATGCGCCTACATAGCCCAGAAAGCCATCTGTACCCTGGGCTGCATCAAAAGAAATGTGATCAGCACGGAGTAGCAGGTGATCCTGCCCCTCTGCTCTGTGCTGGTAATATGTCATCGGAGTACTGCATCCAAATGTGGAGTCCTCAGCACAGGAGAGACATGAACCTGTTGGAATGTGTCCAACTCAAAAGATTCTGTGATTCTGGGAATTCTCTCTAAGTGATGCTTACTGGGTATGAATATTTTTTCTTACATATTCTGTCCTTGGTAAGAATCCAGTTCAACTGATTAAAATAGAGAATGAGTATTTTCTAGAAACTGGATCTAGACTTTTGTCAAGCTTGACATATCTGCAGGCACATATAAAGGGCAAAGCGTTTCCCTCTAGCACAGAGACACAAAAAATGCTATTGATCATCTCTTTCTGAAAGTTTTTAACATTTGGAAAACTTTATCAAGATCAGTGACTCTCAAAAGGAAAAATTACTTTCAAATTTCTGAGATGAAACTCTGAGTATAAATGATTAACCTGTCCACCAGGAAAAAAAAATGCATTAGTGTTTATAGGGACTTATGGTTTCCTATAAACAGCAGAGATTTATAGCTTTGATCATTTTGGATCATTTCTTTCAACAGAAGTTCCAATACACAAAAGCTCAAAAAAAAACTACCAGCAAAATCCTTCAGTGGAATCTTTTGTCCTTTGCTCCATCAGTTTAAAATGAGTTACCTTAATTCTTTCGGGTAAACTTTAGAGGTATCATGTTTTTCCCTACCATACGATTTACTTTCACTTCTTATATAGAACTTTGCTTTAAAAAGGCAGAAATACAGTAAGTGAAGTGATGAGTCAAAATATTTTTTGAAGAAAAGTGTATTTCTCTTCCAGTATTGCCTCATTCACTTGAATATCCCAGCCAGCCTTAGTTTGGCTGGACACACTTACCCCACAATGAAGCATTATAAAAGATGGGTACCTGTGTTCCAGAGTACTACAGCCATGATCATCGTTCCTCCACTAATCAAGCAGCCCACATTGATATTTGTGGTGATGATTTATCTCCCTAGCCTGGCCACAGCAGTTTCCTTATCATTTGGAGAAGCATTTTGTTTCTATTTAAAAAGCAAGTAAGAAGCCCACTTTCTCCATCAAGAAGTTGTCCTCAGAGTAAAAGAAAGAAACCACCATTAATACCACCTCAATCCTAACTTGACCATGAGGCTTCCCAAAACCCAAAACAAATGTCTGAGTCTTCTCCCTCAGAATACAAGGTCCTTAATGGATCTAAAGACAGTGACAAAGGTTCTTAGGATTATAAAGCAGTGGCTAATCCCAGAATAATTAGATATATAATCCTAGTTGCTTTTTAGCTTTCATTCTCTCTCTCTCATTTTTTTTTTTTTTTTTTTTTGCTTTACTGCCATCATTATCTTTTTATGTTACTTATCTGCCAAACTGGGTCATCTGGAAAGCTAAACTTTTCACATCCATTTTTTTTTACCCACTCGCCAGTTGTTTCATGCTGACAGAAAAAAAAACCACATTTCTACAATGAAAGTGCTATCATTGTCTATTCTCCTCTATGATTTACTGAAATGATGGTAATGCCTGTAGCTGTCAGTAGTCCTACTGCAGACTGAAAATCCTTTTAAGGAACAAGGTAAGCCATCTCACAAATGTAGCACTAGAGAGTCACTGAGAAGTGTGGCTTTTCTCGTTCTAATGCTGCCTTAACCCTAATGTATTGAGAATATCTTCACTATTGCACTCTTGTCTCAGTAAAGCATTATTTTAGAAACTATAGTTTTGGTAGAGCCATAGCATTGGCTCATTCCCCAAACCATCACCTTGTACTCACATCCACCTGCTGTTCCTGCCTCTATATCTGGTCTTGGTGGCAAGCACACAAGCACAGTGTAAGCCAGCAGAAGTGGGGAAGAAATTACCTACCCCAGCCACTGTCCTACAGCCTCTTCTCCACTAGCCAAAAATAGAGGATAGCTTTCATTGTATTTTTTACTTTTTCCCTGTGGTGCTGAAGATGGATACTAAGGAAGGACAAAAACAGTGGTTCAAAAAACTTCAGTCCAAAGACATGCTCACCAACAACTAGAATCAGTGGTGTATCTCCCTCGAGGTCCCTTCCAATCCCTACGATTCTGTGATCCTGTGATTACTGAAGTTAATAATGTTTTTGTAAGCTTTAAAATGGAATCTTCTGCTCTTCAATTCTTCATCATGACAAATGTAGCTGTTTCAGCATATGCTCATTTCCCTATCTGTGGAGCTTTCCCTTAATATAACTTACGGTACTTTATTACTATCACTATTAAATGAAATGTCATGAATAGGCTTCATTAGAATATGACCTAATTTATTAAGTCAATTAAGATAAAAACATAGCTTTGGAGGCAGGAATCAAGACAGTCAACTAAGCTAATCTATGTTCTCCTTATGGCTCTGACACTGTCTTCTGGATGGCTCTTGCAGTTCAGTAAAAAGATCCACAGATTAAAATGTAGAATATAAGAATTACTTGGATACTTTTCCCAAGCAGTTTGAGATTTGAGTAAGAAGCAGAAAACAACAACTAAGTCAGGATAGCTCAATCATCTGGAGTTATAAGATGGAAGCCATTTCTGAGGCACCTCATTAAGCCAGTATTTAAAGGCACTATCTGAAGGCAAAGAACATTGGCATATGCAGGACAGGTTTGAAAGACTTTATGTTTTGCCAAAAATGACTGTTTCATGTTGTCTTCAACTTTGCTTATAAGACCAGAGTAGAAAAGGCAGTTGAGCCGGAAATGGAGTTGTCCTATGGGTAAAATTCAGCTTCTATGGCAAAAATTAGACCACTCTTGGATCAATTATTCATTCAAATATATCCTACATTTATTTCATCAGGGTTTTGCTTTAATTTCACCAGCTCATGTGTATCTATTTTTTGCTGCTTTTTGCATAAAAGAACAATATACTAATTCATATTAGGGCAAACAGTAAATGGGGCTTCCCTAAGCTAAGAGAATCCATATGAATTAACAGAGAATAGGCCATGCTTCTGACACAAAAAAATTCCCACACATAAAACCAGAATACAACTACGTACATAGAGACAGCATACTGCATTTTTTTTTTTTTACATTAAAATAATATCCTGTTAAAAAAAACAAAAAACAAAAAACCCTACTGATTTCAACATTTCATTTTGCAGAAACAGAAAAGAATCAAGCCTATATTGTTCTTCTCAGTGTCCAAAAAAAGCGTGCTGGAAATGAAAATGACCTGTGTTTCATCAAGCTTTAAGAAAAACATTCTGCAATCATTCATATCAAAACAAAAACTTACCCCACACTGCCATGAAAACAGCAAAAAAGACAGTAGCTCCATTGTCAAAAAGGTGTGTTACCTGATGGGGATATCAACAGTCCAATCAATTTATGATAATACAGATTTAATTTTGCATTTTTGTACTTTTTGCTTTCCATTCCCTTCATAACAATGTTGTAGTTGTGTCAGTATCTCTCACTTACTTATTTTCTATTTTTCCCTAATATAATTAGCACTGTCATCAGTGCAGGGCCTGACAATCCTGAGGACTGAAACTCTTCCCTTGATGTGTGACATGCACCTTACAAAGCATTCCACATTGACTCACTAGTCTCTAGCCTAGGCTGCAAATAGTAACCGTGCAAATAGCCCCTGCCAGCAGTAACCGTGTGCCAAATTTCAGACCCAAAGCATTCATTTTATGGAGCCATATACTAAGGATGGATCATAAGATAAGACCTGATGCCAAGGGCACTGTAGCACTTGTATGTAGGATGTGACCTCGGGTACTGCTGAATCTGTAAGTGCAAATGGCATCCAGGTGTTTTATAGCCCAAAATGAGTCCTTGTAAAATACAATAGATGTTAACATTGGCTGAATTTGATCTATCCTTTTGAAGATTTTATCTATCCAAGCTCACTAAAGACAATTGCAAAAGGTGAAAGGAATTCTGTTACAAGAGAAGCATTTTATTTGCGTAGTTTAAAAGGTACCTTGGCATAAACGCAGCTGTCTGACAGCCTCATGAAAGGACAGTATTTATCACATATAGGACACATTATGATATCTGTAGCTTGGCAGACTTCTTTACTGAAAAATAAAATAGATAAAAGTTAGTAGTTTGAACCACAGCAATCAGCCGTAAAATGGATTGACATGTTTTGCTAATAAAAGTCAGTTACTTATTGAAAAATACTGGTTCTTCCTATAGCTGAAGCCAAGATGTACTTAACTGTATGTATATAATTATGGTTTGTTGACCGTTGAAGACTTCAACATTTGTAGTCCTATTTGCAATGAACAGTTCCTCAAGGCCAACCTAGCAATAGTTCTTCACCATTTTCACGTTTTCCTTGAGACAGAAGTGGCCTTCAGTTGGAGAAGGGTAAGAATAAGTGTGGGTAAGTTTGACTCATTCTTGTGACTTCTCTCAAGGATTGTCTTAAGTGTGCAAGAATACAGGGATGTGGAACTCAGCAGAGCAGTGAGGGGGTTCTTCATTTAAAAAATGCTTCCCTGAGGTGGGCCTTTGGAAAAGTCCTGGAAGAGTGAGAAAAATTCCCACTCTTCTATTGGCTCGTTATGACAATAATGAAGGAGCACAAGCCCTATTTTTCCTACTTCAAGCTGAGTGGCCAGCACCATCGGGAACTGGAGCTGGGTGAGAAACATTACCTCCCATCCCAATTCAGGAAAACAATACAAAGGAAGTTCAATATTGGGTATTTTATGAGAACCAAGGAGTACTTTCCTGTGTATTTAGCCAACCATCCAAAATGAAATCATTAATAATACTTATAAAGAGCTCTTAGATTAATCATAATATCCCACAGCTATAATTTCCCTTATAAAAGTATCCACATTACCTGACTTGGCAGTGGTTCAAAGTAGTGACTCCATACAAAAAGACAAACAATCCAATGAAGGCAGCTGGGAAGAGCATCCCCGTGTACCAGCCTAACCAGGCAAAGTACAGCCCGATTTTCTCACCAAAGTATCGTCTGTTTTAAAATACAACAAAGAGAAATTTCCTGCTAATTAGAATAAACCTGCTTAATCATGCCTGTTAATAGAAAATAAATATTTCTATCCTATCTGAGGAACATATAAAAGAGCAAGGCCAGAAAAGAAAGTCTGCAATTAAGACAAACACTCCACACTGAAAAACCTGCGCATTTCAAAAGTGAATCTGAAAATTCACAAACCAGTGTTTATAATAAGATTAGCAGAGAATTCAAGAGAAGAAATAGAGTTGTTTTTAAAAGCTTGTTCTTTATATTTGGGAAACTGGTGGCTTTGTTTGCTTCAGCTGTGTATCGTACTTCCCAAGTAACTGCACTGAAATCATTTTCACCACTAAAATTGATATAACAGAAAAATGATACAAGCCCAAATTACTTCTAAGAAATCAGTCAGTGAAAGGTTATTCTCCAATCAAGTTTATCTTCACTTCTTTCTTTCTTTTATTACCTCAGTTCCTGGAAAAATAATCACATGATTCTGTTGGAGTGGAGAGAAAATTGTGAGTGAGGTCTGGAAAAAAAAAATCTGAATCAATCCTAATATATTAGCTATATTGTTGAAATACTAACTGCGAAGTGGTGAGGATCTTCTTATTTGCTACATATTCATTAGCATTTTTCATATTTCCAAATGCACTCACACTTTTGGTTATATATCAATGCATACATCAAGCAAACAAAAAACCCGCAGGACTTGTCAGCACAGGAGCGATCTATGTGCATTATTCTTTATTTTGGTATTGTGCACAGTAGGCTGATGATCAGATGGGAATACTTTACCAATCCATATGCAATTACCACAATTACAATGAAAATTTTAAGAGATTCTTTGCAAGAACAGTTTTAAAGAATGAGGCAAGATGATTTCCTTGCACTTCAGAGACTTTGAAGCCAGTTTAAATGTGCATGTCAAGTGAATTTGAAAACAGCTGCTGATGAAAACCCGTATTTATACTAATGATGAAACTTCTGATCTGTCCAGAAACAAAGAGTGCAGTGAGCCAGCTTTGCTGGCTCCTTTATGCTATCATAAAATATTTTTTTTTGTCAAATTTTCACTGTCAGGAAGAGCCGTATGATGTGCTCCGGAGCTGGAAGCAGTGAGGAAGAGAAAGAAACATTTGGTCAGCAATAAACAAAACGTCAGTCTTCAAACTGGAATGGGAATTATAAAGTTGAAACTCTATGGGTAAGGATCAGGGGGTGAGCCAACAAGGCAGACATCCTAGTGGGGATCTGTTATAGACCACCTAACCAAGATGAAGAGACAGAAATGGTGTTCTATGAGCAGCTAGCAGAAGTTGTGCAATCAACAGCCCTTTCTCTCATGGAGGACTTCAACTTCCCTGATGTATACTGGAAATACAATGCAGGGCAGAAGAAGCAGTCTAGGAGGTGTGGAAGATGACAACTCATTGATTCAGATAGTAAGAGAGTCTACCAGGCTCTCCAGGGGAGGCTCCAGGGGAGGCTCCAGTAGACCTACTGTCCACAAACATAGATGGGCGATGTGGAGGTCAGGAGTTGTCTTGGGCACAGTGAACAGAAAATAGTGGAGTTTTCTAATTCTGGTGAAGTCATGAGCTGAGCTCATGCTTCACTGGTTGAAGGGCACAAGACTGATCTACGCTATTTATTATCACTTGAGTTTACCAGCACTCTGTGAGAAGCCAAATATTGTCATATTTCTATTCTTCTGTCATTTGACAGACTCAAATTTACAGGCTAAAGAGGTGGTAAGCTAAAAATAACACACTCAGTTCTGACAAGGGCAGCAGGTCTGGCTGTGAAAAGACACAGTGCATTTTGAGCCTTGACTTAGCAGTGTTAGTGAACTCTTTGTCCTAATTATTTGGTTGACACACAGGATGTCAAGCTAAGCCTGCTCCACTGAAATAGAAGGTTCACATTTTGAGCTTACTTCAATTGAATATTTATGGTCCTGTTTTTCTTCATGTACAAAAATCAAAGTAGAGAATTAAACTTAGTATTAATTAAGATTTATCTTTTTGAATGATTCCCTGTATCCAGGAATGCATGCTTCCCCATTCCACATGACATTTTGAAAAATGTTCCTGATAAACTTTTTTTCTTTCCTGTTGAGCCTTTCTATCTAACAGGATGGAACACAAAATATAATTCTTTCTCATGATCTAGAGATCAAGCAAGCAGCTAGATCTATAAGAAGAAGACCCAAACAAGTTTCCGTGTGTGCATATGCACAATAGGGAATGATCCAAATATCTTCAGTGGAAGGAAAAGGCAGCTGGGGCCACCTCTGAGCCTGGTTTTAAAAATAAGCGCTGTATGTTGACACTACTTTGGTACCTGTAGGCTTAAATATGGACAAACAGCATTAGTCTTCTACTATCCTCCTTTGCTTCACAGCAGATTTCCAACAGGTTGTACTACTGCAAGTAGCATCAGGATAAAGTTAATATTCATTTCCTATGGCCCTGTAGTTAGCATATTTCCATTAGTATATTTCTACCGCACTTAAGCTGTAGAAATAAATCATGATAACGACACGGTCTTTGGAGACCTGCCTGGGTACTGCATTCTCATTTCCACATTTATTCCCACCAGTAACTGCGTTCAACTAGACACTCACCATTCCCAGGAGAAATAGATGGCTCAGAGATTCCTTTGCCACTAAGGTCATACCACATAAAATGAACAAGCTCTTTGCTTCTTGTCTGTTTACTGTTTACAGAAGAGAAACTTCATAGAACTGTCCACAGTGAAGTCAGTTCTATTACCCGTGTGCTGGCACTTGACCTAAAACTCAGTTATATATGTAAAGATGTCAGGGGATTTTTTTCCAGAGTGCATTAGTTGTACCTGAATTTCACCTATTATCACTCTACTCATCGTAGACCTCTTTTTTCCAGGCTTGATGATATTTGCATGTTTGTTAATTTTTGTATCTCATTTCCATAACATTCTCAGGCAGTCAGTCATAACAGAAAAAAAAAAGCTGTGTACCTTTTGTAGCTCTCCCACAGAAAATTTTCTCCATATAAAATTCTCAAAAGCAGAGAAATTCAAAATCCCCAATAACCGATCACTCTACCCTTATATAAACTATACCATTAGAACTAAAAGAAAAAAAAAAGAAATCTTAGTTTCTCAGTTTTATGCTGACAAGTGTATTAACTCATCAACACAATCTGCCTTAATGTTTAACTGTTTCTCCCCTTACTCCATTCCAATACCACTGACTTCAAATGGGCCAAAATTCCAATCTCTGTATTTAATGATAATGTACATTTTGAAGTAACAAAGTCTAATTTCAAACCCATAAAATGTTATGTTTATTGACCTTCATTATATATTATAGCAGTTGGCAATCTTGCCTGTGGCAGACTGGGGGGGGGCCGCAACTTGATGATCCTTGAGATACTTCCCAACCCAACCCATTCTATTATTCTATGATTCTGTAATTCTATGTTATTTTTTTGTTTTCAAGATGCCTAGAAGGAAGTAATGGAGCCAGAATATATTTAAATCTGTACTTAAGCCAAGAACATATCTATCTTCATTATTGCTTTTTGCTGGTCAGAATTAAATCCTGTACAGAACTTTTCAAACCACTGAAAGAAGTTGTGAAGGAGCTAGAACTATCTAACAGATTTTTTGGACATGTAATTATTTCTGTTATGCCAAGAGCAAGGTGGTGGGGAAGAAGGCTTAACAGAGCATTTCAAGGAAGTTGTCAGCTTGTAACAAAGGCATTATGTTTGCTTCCAGGTTCATTTAGGTATCTTAACAATTGCTTACAAATATAGCTTTCTCCCACCCTTTCTTGTCCTGTAAATGAATTGCACAAGCAGCAGCAGGAATCATTTATGGACAATGTCAGGCAAAGATCTATGCACAAAAGCGAGAAGGAGATGATCCAAAACTCATAGAAGTTACTGCAACAATTTCAATTGATTTATGTAATCCCCAGGCATACAAGTATAGAAAGTCCTGCCTTTTTCCAAGCACGTTCTAAGGATCTTAAGTTATTCCTGTTAAGTAACTATAGATGCAAAATTCCAACAGGAGTGTAATTAAAATCATGGTACCACATTTGGTGTTTCATAATTATGTCTCTGTGATTTTGTCAAGTCTCTACCTCCATACTGGTGTGTTTCAAAGCAGAGTGAAAGCAGAATCATGCAATTCCCCTCAAATGACTTTTTCTCATTTATTTCTGGTGACTAGTATCTCTAATAACAGCCAGATGATGAGATTAAATGAAATCTGGAAGGCATCAGATTAACAACACCAGAGACATAAGGTTTGTTTTTACCAGCTAAGGAAAAACAAAACAGCATCAACGTATGGATGGTTTCATTTACCATTGTGGTAACTTGACTTTAAGGCAGAAACACCATATCCATTAATAAAAGCATCATTTTGTTATGTTCACCTAATTTACTCCTTAGCTTTTCTAAAGCATATATTAAAGGGAAACATCAGCTAGCAGCAGTGAGATGTGTCCAGATGTCTGTGGAAGAATTAACATCCATCCACTCCTTTTGTACAGATGGCAATACTACTCCCTTCAAGCACAGCCCACACAACTGTTGTTCTGGGAAAAAGAACAAAGAAGTTGCTCCTGCTGCAGAGCTGGTAAAATAAAATAAAAGCTTCTGTTTAATGTATGCTTGCTGAGATACTTCTAAGGGAAATGAACATTTGGCAGAGTCAGCTCTGCAAACAAAATCTCCAGCTCACTAGACATGTGAGCTCCTGCAATCGGCAGTAGGTAGAAAAGATTTGGCAGGAACCAGGGAAATGTGAGGGATCTAACATTCATGAAGTGAGAAGAAGAAGGCATTCCACCCCTTTCCTATAACCCCTCCTTTTGTGCATTCATAGCCACCAATGATGTGCTCCAGGAAGCTAATGGCAAGGCTGGGTTTGAGCGGCAGCTTTCACCCCTGCTGAGCTTGAAGCTATGGAGACTTATGCTGCTGTGAACACTCAGGTAGTCTTGTAACTCTCTCTCCCACTCTCTTCCTTGGATAGACACCTGTTCTGAATCACCACATGTCACTCATGACCTCAGCTAAGGGATCTGCTACTTTGCTTATTTTCTCTTGCAAAATAGTTGTGGAAAATTCTTTGCACTGTCTGATGAAAAGCTAAAGGTTTGTACAGAATGTAAGAGGTCACACCCAGACTCAATTAGCAGGCTTCTTCCAAGGTCCTGTACAATTGTTTATTTTTATACTTAAGAAGTCTTCCAGTTGCCTGAGGATCACAAAAAAAGTTTAGCTAAGACCTTGCTATTGCTTTGCAGCACTTTCACAAACAAGAAATGATGAAGAACAATGGACCTGACCACTGTGGGCAAATTATTTAAATGGAAATTATAAAGATAAGTTGTTTATATTGTGACACTGATACTGTATAACTGGAAATTAAAACAACAGCATCAACAACAAACCCCTTCACTGTAACTGCTGACTCCTCAGCAAATTAGTAATTTCCATATTTTGACAAAAATTCTCTATTTCTGTCCAGGACAGTGTATTAAAGAAGAATTAGGAAGCTCTCAGAATTAAATAATGAGGTACAAATGCATTACTTTTTTTATTGTATTATTTTATTGTATTTCTCTATGAATTGTTCTCCATGGAAATTGAACATCTCCTGTTTTGTGCAATGGGTGGGTTTTATATGGCCTTAAAGAATAACATCTTCTGACTCCAGAAATATTCCTTTGTGAATATTTCTATCTGGAAGTGATTTTGAGAATCAATAAAAAGCAAGCATTTCTATCAGTTACAGGACTTATTAGAGGAGAAGATAACTGCATGCATAACAGTATCTTCAGTCATCCCAGTACACTTTAAGACTGTTCACAGGCTTCTGTAGCTTCACACTTGCCTCTTCAAGCAGAAAAAGCCCACCAATGCCCAGCAATAGTTATGCCACAGTGATCAGCAAATGCTGTATGTGCATAAAAACTGTGTAATCCTCTATTAATGCATGCAAGCCTACTTGGAAACCTGACTTAAAAGAGCTGTAAAAATTTGAAGTCACGTCTCAGCTTTCTCAGTGTTTCATCTTTGCAGGCTACTTCCAAGATGAAAATAAACTTAGACTGTAATGATGTGGCAGTGGCAAGAGGCAGTAGAGGAGTAACAACAAACTTCCAGTCATCATTAGTGTTGTCAAACATAGTAGCACATGGTGTGTGTGAGCTTTATCTCTATACTGCCTGTGAGTATCACTGAACTTCAATTGGAGCTTCTTCTGTGGTTGTTCTTTGGACAAAAAAGAAGAGCTAATCAATGAGAGGCTTTTTATCAAAGCCATGCTTTGAGGAAAAGTAGCTCCTTCAGTGGGCATCCATGCAATCATGTCTCCCTAGGCTCTACTCTCTTTTTTCTCTCTTAAATATTCTGCAACTCCTTCATGAGAAGTTACGGTGTCAGAAACCTCTATAAGGATGCTCCCTTCACATTCAGAGCCTTCTACAAACCTCTTTATAAATACCTCTTTCAATGCAGTTGTACCCTGAATGAAATGGATTCCCCTGATCTCAAGATCAGTTTCTAAAAAACACATGAATTTACTGAGTACTCTGTGGTTTTGAGAGAAGAAAGATAATCTATGTTCATACCACCTAGACTGAAGCATATTAAAAGCATGAAAGTCTTACCTCACTAGATCCAGTGGTTGGTATTTATACCAGACTCCCCAGGAAGCCCAGCACTCATAGAGCAGGTGTCTGTGATTTTCTGCCCCATGGGTTTTTATTGAATTCTTACTTCTGTAGCTTCCCTAAAATACAAATTGGGATATTGATGAATAACAACAGCAAAAGAATAGATAAGAAAGCTCTCTCATTCCTGGTATGCATAATACAATTTTATGCAATCTCCATACTTGTGAGTCACAATCTAAAACTTATTTTAAAAAGAAAATTTCCTTTGTATGCAATGAGACTTGAGGTTGTACTTCTTAAGAAATACAATAACTGGTGTTCAAGTCAAAGGCCAAAAACTGGAGAATCTCAAAGAGAAAACCAAATGCTATTTTTTCCCTTTGCCAACATACTGATTTATCACATTCAAATAGTTTTACAGAACAAATCTAGAACAACTTTCTCTACTCCTTTCGGTTTGCAATAAAAAAGGTGTTTTTTTTTTTTTAAAGCACTACTAAATGGAAAGATGTCAGAGGCAGCTGTCGAATCCAAAGGACAATGATAAAATAATGTTAGTAAGATTGAGAATTTTTGCACAGTTAAAGATTCGTGTCATGGGAAGTGTTTCTTCAAAGTAGAAAAAGAGAGAATACCTCATGAAGAGGAAATGCAGCTTCATAGGAGCCATTACTGAGCAATCGATTCAGACCTAAAAACCAAAAGTATCGAATTATTTAACAGTAGGACCAGAAAAACTGCTAAGTGTAAAGCAAAGAACAGTTTCAGGATACACAGCTAAATGAAGCTTGAAGACTATTGATAGTAAGAATCAAGTAGAAAAATTCATCTTTTACAGGTTTTGATGACCTAGGATATAACACAAGAAAGGATTTGTTCAAATATCAAGCAAAATCTATAATTTATAATGCCTGAGGTTTAAAGACTCATTTGCCAAATCCATCTTTCGTCCAACTTCAGTGGAGTCTAGGACCTCATAGGAAGATAAAAGTTTAGTATCATATGCTTTGTTCTAAGCAAGCTGTGCAAACAAGAGGCTGAATTTCCTGGGAGTGGAAAACTTCAGGGAGGATCTTTACTTTTTTTAACTGCAAGCCAGTACAACAACATAAATGCTTAATTCCTATATGCTGTAAAATATGTTCCATTTATGTCTTATGAAAGGCCCTTGGACAAACAGATAGAACAGGAACATGATGGGCTCAAGTAATAGAAGAATAGGGAATATGCTTGAACCTGAACAAAACAATTGCTCTCTGGCACAAAAATGTGGTAATAAATACCATTCAGTTTGACTTTGTCCCTCCTCAATGAGAACTAGAACAGAAATAATGAAGGACTACTGAGAGGTGGGCACTTTTCACTTGGAAAGTCATTCAGATAGGACTGAACAACTATAACACAATTTAAAACTAAATCCTGGCACTAACAGCCTGGAGGTATTTGAGCCCCATTGATGCAAAGGAAAAGAATCCCAATTCCATCTCTGATTCATAGGGAATGATAGCAGTGAGAACACAACAATGAGAATTAATAATTCAACACAAATAACATGTTCAGTGATAGCATTAATATCTGCTTGGCGGAATATTTTTTCTCCTGAAGTGTCTTTGGCAGAAAAGCAAAACATACAGCTGAGCTGGGCTCTATTCAGCCCACTGATCTGTTCAAGGTTTAGTTTATGTAGGTACCGCACAAGCATTTATGTGAGTGAATCTGGGAGGCAGGCAAGGGATTTCATTGTGGGTGTGTGCACTACACTCACCACAGGAATTCTCCCCTTTCTTCTCTTTCTCTCACTGTCATTGCTCAAAGACTTCCTTCATCCCTCCCTTTTGACCTGAGGCAGCTACAGAGCTACAGGATCTCACTTCTCCCTTTTGGAGGAACAGATATCCATGGAGATGCCCTACTGGCCGGGATGGACAGCAGCACAAATTTTTGCTTTCTTTCCAGTATGTGTGTCTTCGAAAGAGTAAAAGGTTTTCTGCAGAAAAGGTTCCTTTGAGTCAGGTTCTTTCCTTGTTGAGGTAATAAATCTCATGGGGGACACAAATGCCGGGGGAAGCAGCCCATCATTCTAGTGAAATGGTCAGCTCGTTCTAGGAAAATTCCCTGCCACCTAGCAATGGGTGAGATGTGCACCATTCTAAAAATGTCATTATAAACAAAGCAAAAGAGCCAGACTGCTACTTATTTTTCTGATAGGATTTATCATCCACATTAAAAGTACTTACCAATTTTGTTTTTCCCTTCTTCATATTTCACTCTTTGTAAGATATGGTGTACAATTCTACTTCTTGTAGCGTTATTGAAGAAAGTGTCTTTGTTGTGTATGATGAAGCTATATAAAAACACAAACAAGGCCATCTTAGGAATATGTAGTAGCATATTTAAAGCAATACTAAGTTCCACTGTTTTCAGTAGCATGTTTAAAATCTATGTGAGCAAGCGTAAGGAAGATTAAAGGACATCAGATTAACTGAGATGATTCACCGGATGAGATGATCGCAGTAACTGAATTCATTCCCTAGCAGAGAATGGCTTGGAGAAGTCTGGAGAAAGATCAATGATATCTAAGCATTCATTATGATAAGCATTACATTTAGATAGATTCACTGAGAACTAGAAAATAGTTGCATAAAAATTTGCAAAAGAGTAAGATTTGTAAGTGCAGCTGTAGAGATTCACATTTCATCTTTCTATTTCTGGCTTCTTTATTATGCTTTACCATTAAGAGTCAGATGAAAGCAGCCACATGGCAAAAAATGACTCTTAAAACTAGCTTGCAGAAGCTACTCATTGAGTTACACATTAATGCAGGTTCAATAGTTTAGACAGAATTGTGAAGGGTCCGGGAAATTGAAAAAAAAAATACCCCCCAAATTCATTGAATTGGTTAGATTTTCCGGTACTGTATGTTTTATATAGATTTATTAGCCACAACATACATATTTGAGGAAAACAAGATATTTTAGCATGTCATCATATCACTGGAAATATTTAATGCCAGAATCTCAGTTTAGAAATACCAGCTTAACTTCACAGAATGGCCCAGGTGGGAAGGGATCTCAAGGATCATGAATCTCCAACCCCCTGCTACAGGCAAGGCCACCAGCCTTCCCAGTTGAGTTACGTAAAGGCTTCAGAATAGACTGTGAAAGTCATTTAGACACTTGAATAAGCAGAGAGTTGAAGTTTCTGATGAAATATGCTTGTGCATATATTTGAGGAAATTAAATATTTTTATAATTATGACCCTCAGTAACTGATTGAATGGAAGGGTTCATCTTTGAAAAAAAAAAAAACAAAAACAACTTAGGATAGGATGTAAGTTTGTTTTCTTCTGTGTCAGTGAAGAGCTCCGGGGAACTGAATAAACTGATAAATAAAAAGGTAAAATCAGAGATTTCGTAAAGAGGCCAGAGCATATGCTAGATAAATCTAGTGTGAAATGAAAAAATCTTAATAGAGAGTTTGGCATGTATCTACATCACCTTCTCTTCTGTGTTATATGGGATTTACTATTCTGTTTTCCCCTCTGGTAATTTTCCCAAATGAAAACCCTCTTCTTTAGAGCAAATAGGAAATGCTATATGGCTCTGCATCTCTACATTCATTTGGAAAGCCAGGCAAGGAGTCCAAGCCCTGCACTTTACGGACTCCACGTGCTCCTTCCTTTTTATCCAAAAATCACTACTGAACTTTCCATACAAGACAACCTGTAATGTTCAGTTTCAAAGGCACACAGCAAAAAAATTCCAAAAGTAAAGATACAAAATACAAATTCCTCTGAGAGAAGCACAATTAATAAAACTCGGTTTTCTAGAAACAACACCTTTCCCACTCTATCTCAGATACTCACAGGTTATTTCTGTGTCTACCATTTATCCAGGAGTACACATCTGGCTTTATCCCATCTCCCAAAGTCCTACATGTGCCCCAGAGAGCCTGCTGTCATTTCTGCATATCAGCTGACTGCAGTGTGTGTGATCATTTACCACTGGGCTGGTACCAAACAGCATATATACTTGGTGTACGCTGACTGCCTTTATGGCATAGGCACAAATTTGAGCCCCAGTCCCATTTCAATCAGCTGGTACTCACAAAGTAAGTAAGACTCTGATTCTCTTTGAGACAAATAGGTTTGTACCAAATGTAGTTGAAAGTAACCAGCACATAAAGTAAGAGTTGGTAGAAAAAAAAGGAAATGCTGTTATCACATAATTCATAATGTTAAGGAAATCAGATTAAAAACAGCCTAATCTCTGAAGCAGATAGAAGAGCATTGTATCCAGATAAAGCTAGATTTATGCACTAGGTTGTTCCAGTAGTAACAGAGAGAAATTAAGACAGTACTAAAAAAGAAATGAATTGCTAGCATTTTTTCCACTGTTTCATTTTCTGTTCATGTCCAACTTTAATCTCCAAGATCTCACCTCCTAGGTAGCACTGAATGTTAAAGAACAATGAAAGTAACTTTTGAAATCAAACCAGCACAGTAATTTTCATTATCTATGAGCTCTTGAAGGATTCGATTGGGAATGTAAACAGTGATTCAGGTAATGATAAAAATCAGTAGCATTTATTTATTCTCTTCGTGATATAATACTTTTTTGGTATCATGACTGGGACATTCTGCAACCATCAGCAGTTCTTTCAACCACTTTTCTGGACAAGTAGCTTAACAGCCTTTCTGCATTTAGTTGCTTCTATTTTCATGAGTGAAAAGAAAAAAGACTAAAATCAAACACTGTTCAATCTTAAAAGGAAATAAGAACTATTTGATTAAAAGAACACTGTAGAGATTTGCACTCATTTATAAACTTAGCAATTGTAGTGTTGTAGCTGTTGATCTCACTTGGCCAAGAAAGAACAAGCAGATGTGCTTGAGAAGCAGCTGTCAACACTTCACTATGAATACTACCATGAAAAACTGCCTATTCCAGAACTAAGGCATATGTGAGCTGCAGAGTTTGGCCCTGCCCATCCATGTGCTATTAAAATGCATATAGGGACAGGAAGGGGAGAGAAGAGGGAGAATTCACAGCTGGAGTAGGTCAAGAACATGTATTCTCTAGCATACTCATGCAGACGTGGAGACAGAGATTATGTTGTAAAGGTATTAAAAAAAAATACAAAAACAACAACCTTGCTTAATTTTTGAAAAAAAAAAAAAAAACAAACAACAAGGACTGTTTTGCCTTTGGTCACTTGATCATCTTGATTATTTCTGTGAAATTTTCTATAGAACATCCCCCAGAAGAATGGTGTTAGCACAGCCAAGGGGACTGGTGCAGGGAATAAAAACAGGCAGAAATAACTGGGAGGAACTAAAAGGATGAAAGTATCCCAAGTGACATTAATTACAACAATGCTGGTGGAGACCACAATTTTCATCCAAAATCAGAGAGGTTGCCTCTGTCAGTTGAGAATCATGCACTTCAGTGCAAGATTTACGCTTTTGTATCCCTACCCTTCCCACCTGCACTTTCTTGACTTTTCTTCCTTCAAATTTTTTGTGCTCCAAGTTGTCACCTTTTGGAGTGATAAATTCATACTCACAGACTAATGATTGGGGCTCATTCATGATCTACAGCATCCAAATTCAAATAAAAAGACTTTTTCATTATGTGGAGAATCTTAGTCTTCAAATTTCAGTTCACAGAGGTCAAAGCTGAAGATATTTCCAAATTAGGTGCAGATAAACATCCATCAGGTGTTACTGAGCTATAAAGTGCACAAAGCAGAGACTTTCCATGCAGTTTTTTTAACCCTTGCTGCTTTCAGATGGAATAGTTTCCTTAGCTGTTCTATTTCTGCTGCTCATGTTAGAATTGCACTATGCAAAAAGGCTGAATATTCATAAGAGTGATGCAGATTGTTTTCAGGTTCAGTGAGGTTCAGGCTTTGTTTAGGAGAAAGTTCAGTTGAAGGTTTTAGTCACTTCGTCATCTCTTTTGTGAGGCAAAAAATAAGCAAAGATTAATACACTGGTATTTTTATTCCTTGTGAAGGTAATGTATAGTTAGATAATAAATACAGTGATTTTTTCCAGAAGAGTTATACCCATTAGACTATTTCTGTAAGCCTTATTTGTGTGAGCTGTCCTGACACAAAAAAACTATAAAAAAAGAAATAAAATCCCAATGAAGATAACGAGAGTACTTCTGCCAGGAAAGGTTCCAGAGCTGATCCTTAATTAAAGTCCCTTTAAAAACTGTCATTCTGGAGATACTGCTCTTACATTCCCACTGTAAGAGACGTGACAAGTCACCGAAGGTTAATTGTTTTGAAATTACATTTTTAGCTTTCTTAATTAGATTCTGAACTGGAGATTTCAAACTGACTTTCGATGGATGAAGCACAACAAAACCAACTGTCATTTAGAGAAAGCCCTGAAGTAACTGTAAATTAAACAAAGAGCAAATTGCCAATGGATTCCTGTTCATGCATTCTCTTGACAATTTTACACGTTGTACAAACTTAGGAGGAATAGAATGAGCTCTTGAATCTGTGTCCAATACCCATTTGAAAAGAAATTCTCTAATTTTTCTGTTTATTTTGGAGCAGCAAAAGACAAGGAAGGGCTATGTTGTGTTCTACGAGTGAGACGTTCTGAAAGTTGAACACCTATGGCCTAGTTACAAAGCTACAACGTGAGCATTTGTGCTCATACCAACGTGCGTTTTTGCCCCATGGGATCCCCTGACATTGAAATGCTTGGTGTCTGACACTCAACATACTAAAATGTATGATCCAAGCAAATGCCTTCTTCTGGAAGCAGTGAAAACCAAAGCACAGAAAATGTTTGAGCATAGGAATTAATATATGAGAAGTATATTCCCCTTGTACAGAAAAAATGCCTGCCCTTCTGCACTGCCAGGTAAACCACTGATGCTAACTTGCTGTTGTTGGCTGAGGCAGTGGCAGGTCTTTACCTCATTTGACATCAGAGGAAATAAAGTCAACAGCTGTAATAGCAGCAATAAGATGAACCTGCAGTATGCCAGTGAGAATATTACCACAATCCCTGTACATTATTTGCTTGAAAATAGGCATATGATGATTGCTTTCTGTTTTCATTTTATGTGACTTACAAGGCTGCAAGTAAGATAAATAGAAAGGCTTGAACTTTCAGACCAGAAAAGAAGACAACCTTTCTCTTGCAACACGATAATGCAAAGCCCATCAAATTTGAAGACTGTGGAGCACGTTGCCAATGTTGGCTGCACTGTTCTGTCATACCACTATATAGTGCAGATTTGGTGCCTTCTGATTTCCATCCGATTGGGCCAACAAAATACGGACTGCATCAGCAACATTTTTTAGCAATGATGCTATCATAGTAGCTGTGGAGCAGTGTGTCACCTTCAGTGGTGCAGATTTTTATGAGCACAGCATGCAGGCTCTTGTTCATCACTAGTGAAAATGCATAACTAATGGTAGTGACTGCTGAAAAAAAGTGTTGTGTAGCTGAGAATTTGCTCTGTCAAGTAGTGGTATCGTGCTCTTTGTATCTGTTGTAATTTCTGTGGAAATAAATAGGGGTCATTAACTTCAGAGTGACCTGTGTACAAACACAAGAATGACCATCTTGGTTCAAACCAAGGAAGTGTTCATGCATTCCTGTGCCTTACTGTCAATGGTGACAGCTCTCTGATCCATCCATGATCTCAGCATGAGGCAGCTATCGGGACAGGGGTGCACATCATCTTGGTGAGGATGGCAATTATTAAGGGTATTTTGAGCATCAGAGAAAATATAAAATGCAACTCCACTCTGACAGACAAACATCCTGGAAACCTGACAAAAATACAGGACAGTGTTTGCTTGTATGTGCGGGGGACTCAGTACAAATGAGAGTAACTGCATGAATCTCTGGTATATATTTTAATTTTACTTTTTAATTGATTTTAATTAATGCAGGTACTGTCCTACTGTCCAAATTGTGTAAAGTTTTAAACTAATTTTTACTGAAATAATAATTATTTTAGGGGCTTTATTCAATTATATAGTATATTAATATTTAAGCAGAGAGTTTGTTGCCTTTGGAAGGGGAAAATAGCTCCTGAAGTCTGAAATCTCTAAGCAGCAATTAGGAGTATTTTCCTAGCTAGTATACCACTACCTAAGAAATTGCAGATAATTACTAGTGTTACTATTCCCAGCTAACTAGCAGCTCACTACATAAAATAACTAAGACATAGTAGAAAAATAACTAATTACCATCATGTCTGAGGGAAAACATTTTTCACATATTGTGAATTATGCATTCTTGCAACGGATAATTTTCAGAAGAAATGGCTTTGTGTAAATAAAGCCCTTCATAATCTGTGACTGCAGAAGTGAGATACTTCTCAGAAGACTATCTTGAAAATTATCATTTTCTATTCTACAAAATCCCAACAAAACGCTTGTCTCAGCCAGACAGAACTTCTTTCCTCCGAGAAAAGATTTCCTATTGCTTAGGAAATACAATGAATTTTGCCCTTCTTTTTTGGCTGGCTCCACATGTTAAATGTTGTCAGTTTTCTGTCATTCTATGCCTTTAACAGTGCCTATCAGAAATGAAGACGGTACTTAGATCATGTTTCAAGCATCATCCATATCACACTGGAGACTTGAATATAAAAGCTTGACTAGATCGAAAAAAAGGTAAACTACCAGTGTAGTCACAAAATAAAGAAAGAAAGAAAGAAAGAAAGAAAAATAAAAAGAGAGAGAGAGAAAAGGAAAAAAACAAAACATAATAATTAAAAAAAGATATACTTTTCACATTGCAGGGCACAGTAACTGACCCACCTTTTTGTTCAAATATCACAAGACTCTTTAGTCTGGATCTGACATCTGTTCAGGACACAAATGTTTAGTAGAGGTAACTCTGACTGGCGGCTTGTGCTAGGAACAGAATTATACTGAAATTTCCCCAGAGATTTGCACCTAGTTTTGTTTTTCTGCTGTTTCCAAAAAGACACTACTTGCAGCAGATGACTTTCATTTTATTAACTCATTTTGCAGGAAGTAAATCCACTCCATGAAAAACTCTTCACTCAAAGTAAGGAATCTGAATGAAGTGTTTATTCAAAGAGGAGTTACTCTACCTGTCCTCACCCCAAATAAAATCACACTTTATTTTACTGTTAGTCTTTGATCTGCCCATGGTTCATTCCGTATCACCTCAGTTTTCTGTCAGTACCCTGGTGGGGCGCTGCCAATTTGAGACTTTGCACTCAGGTAGCTGATGTCCACTCCCAGTGTCACAAACAGTAACTAACTGCATCGCACCTTCTTTCCCCAAAGTTAGCCCTAAAAAATCAGCTTGGAATCTGCAAGAAATGCTAAGCCTTCTGCTTTGCATTTTGCAAGTGAATAAGAACTTCTACTAGTCAAATGATATCTCTAGTACCATTGCTGCAACATTGATTGATGCCTTTGGTATGCTTGGACAAGTGTAACTGACCTTAACACTGGCATTATGCAACCAGTTTTGCTTCTGTAAAAGTTAAAGAGAGAGAAATTCAAACAAAATGACACTGTCCTTTTACACACATAACCAGAAATGAAATGCAGTATCCATTTATCTTGACCATCAGTGCTAGAAGGACTAATATTGATTATACTAAGAACAGAACTGCTGAATAAGAAGTTTTAAGCACATCTTTAACATACACAAAAAAGGCAGTTCTGACTCAAGAGAGAATTAGTCAGTTGACTACTTTAAGGATTTAATTGAAATTCTAGTGAATCAAAAGGAACTTTTCTATTGAATTCTTTTAGCTTTGATTTGGACATTTAATTATTAGACAAACTTTATGCTCTCTCAGGGCTCTCTATCTCCCCTTTTGTGTGACAAAGGCACTAATGTTTAAGGCACACACTAATAAATTGATTTTTTTCAAAGGTGAATCCAGAAGGAAAAGTTCTAGTCTTGTAATTAAGATATGATTTTGTGATGCAATAAAGTACTCACTGGTGGATCCTTTGTTGGCTGAAAGGAGCAGTATAGCAGTCATTCTCTTCCAGATCTGGCAGTGTCTCCTTGTCCAGTTTCATTGGCTTTCTAGGTAACCATCCTCGAAACCTGCTTATTTGTTTCTCGATCCTGCAATACATGAAAAGTGTGAGCATTTGAGAGAGTGAGAAATATATTGCTTTTTAATTACATTTTTTCAGTGCAAAGTACATATGCAGGCAAACTAGGCCACTTAGTATCTACAGCTACAAAAGAAGCACTATCTGACATTTTGGACCAAATTATGCACACTGAACTTGATTATTAACAACCAGCTTTCAGTGAACGAGCGTCTTATTTTGTCTTAGCAGAAAAGCAATGCCAATGTTACATGCTGCTAAAAATCTTTATAAGCCCATTAAGCTCTTGGCAACTCTCTAAGCCTTTATTTCTCAGCTGTTTATCTAATTTAAATTACAGGCCTGACATATTAGACTTTGGACATATAAACATGAGAACAGTACAGACTATGATGGAGAGCTTTGAAAGTTAAACCCCAGCAAGCTGCATCCTTTTCCTGCCCTCTGTACTGATTCTTACCTTGCAATTGGTGCCATACAAAATAGACTACTTTATTCATTTGGTTTAACTGTAGTGTCTTGCAATACTATAATCTACCCAAAAACTAAAATACTCAGTGTACAGGTTAGTAGGTGACAGCTGCACAGGTTGTTACATATAGAAGGTGAAAACAAATAAGATTAAGCTGGATTTAATCATGGGTACTCATGCAAAGATGCACACTGAAATTACTGGTAAGGGAACAATCAGAGCTGGGTGGAGGAGACAATCTAAAACAACTTCACATCCAAACTAAAACATTATAATGAAAATGTTATGATGAAGACACATAACAAAGAGGAGGTGTGTCTGGCAAAATGAAGCCTACCCTCCCTCACACCTTCAAGCTCTAAACAGTGATCTCTGCCTGCAAAAATCAGATGACAAATTATGGGCATGCTCATATTTCTGTCACAATACAAGTATTTCCTGGTGGGGGGCATAAACCAATATCTTTTGAAGTTTAAGACCAGTTGAAGATGAAGTTCAAAGGCTGGAAATCTAAGTGGTTTGTTTCGTTTTTTTTTTTTTTTTTTTTTACATTCAACATAAGCCAGTCCAATAGCTCTGTGACTCCAGAAAATGCTGGGAGGTCTGCACAGTTTGAGGGAGGGCAATCATGCAGCTAAGTGTGTAGGACAGTAACACGAAATTATTACAGAAATTATTACAAACTTCCATTCAAAATACATATAATGTTTCCTGGAATATTCAACCTTTTGTCTCACATGTTTTATTTTGGACAGGAAAGCTAACGCTTATTTTTAAACATGGACATTCAATTCAAAATTGTAACCACACAAGCCCTATCCATTTTGGTACAATTTGTGTATTTCCTATTTGTGAATAAAATGGGAGCAGAGGAGTAATATGCCATCAGAACTGATCAGAAACATGGCAGTGCCTGTAAGAGCACAATATGAGACTTATACTAAAGTTATCAGAAACTCTTAATGGGCACTGATTGTTCACCCCAGTCCAGAAGTTCAGAGTGGAGGTAGAATTAGTTTGCTAGTGTCTGTGCCTGAGTGCATGGAAGACATTGTCAGATCCCAGCTCTGTGAAGGACCAGACCTGTTGCCAGTCTCTAGTTGTCCTTTCCAGATTCCCAGCCTTGAGCTAGTCTGTGCAGAGACTGATAGGAATGACAAGGAAAAAGAAAGATAACTCCTGGGGGATTCTCCCTATCTTGGCTTCCAGCTTTTTCCTCTGTAGAGGTTACAAGCTTTGTGTTACAGTAGTTCAGCAGACTTAGTGACCCTGGATGTGGAAAATGGAAGAGGAATCAGGCAGAAGGATTTTCTAAATATCCCAGGCCATGCTTATTTGTTGACCAAAATCATTTGAATTCTCTAAGCTATTAATCCCCTTGCTAATCTGCAACCCTTTCCCATTCATTCTGCAAGTGCACATTTGAGATATGTGTGCTGCAGGTTTATCACAGCACATGCAGGCATGAACACAGTGCTTTCACAGATTAAGAACAATGCATTATTCATGTTGGCTTCTCACTGAGCATATGCCCAGAATTTCACTGATTTGCCACTCCCAAGGTTCAGACTACTTGGCATGCTTAGTGAACTTGCTCCTTTCCTGCTGGCAAGCAGGTCTGGAAAGGTTGCAGTGACTTTCTGCACAGCTGACAGCTTAAGAGTACAGCAGAGCCATCCTTTCAAAAAAAATAGTTTTCTCCTTCAAAAAGAAAAATGACCATGCTTAAAATGCATCCAGGCCACCCCAACAGCACCATGAGTCAACAGTGCAGGCTTTGTACTGAACATTATCCTCTTTCTTAAGACAAGAGACACAAGTGTTATTGCTTTTTCAAGGCTAACCTGGGTTTCACATTCTCTGAATAGAAGGAATAGTGTTTGGAAAACAGAGCAGCCGTACATGGAGTGAGGAGACACTGTAAAGTTAACCACAGTGAAAGAGGAAAATGGCAGAGCTGTTAAAAATTTCCTTCCTAAATACTTACAAAAAAAAAAACAAAAAACAACAAATTGTTAGCTTCACATGGCAAAAATTAACTGTCTCAATGCATGTGGTGGGTCAAAGACACATCCCATTCCAGTCCTGGCCTTGTCTCTGCTGTCCAGGATTAGCCTTTACCCAGTGTCCTGTTTCCAAAGATGCATGTTGTGCTTAACACACAAACTGGTTTCTCAAATAATTTCAAACAGTTTTATCACTAGAAAACAGAGTAGGGATAGAATCTTTTATATTTTTTTCCCAAAGGAAAGAGGAAGTTTGTAGAATCAAAACAATCTTTTATAATTTAGAAAATTTATTTATTATTTATTGTTTAGAATCTTTTTTTCTCAGAGTGGTCAGGCACTGGAATGGCTGCCCAGGGAGGTGGTGGAGTCGCCGTTCCTGGCAGTGTTCAAGAAGTGCCTGGATGAGGAGCTGCGAGATACGGTTTAGTGCTTGTGGTAGCAGTGGGAATGGGAGGATGGTTGGACGAGATGATCTTGCACATTGTTTCCAACCTTGTGATTCTATGATTCTATGATTGTATGAATTGAGATTGATTTTATCTCTGGCTCAGCTTTGATAGAGCTTTATGGACAGTGTAGTGCTAGATACTGTTTAAGTTTTTAACCACAGCTCAGGTTGAGTTCTAGATATTGTATACATACCTGATTCCCCTCCTTTCCTCTAGAACAGATTAGGGCAGTTTCATTATTTGAAATTTTGGAATCACTAGAACTTTTAGACAGAAAATTCAAGTGAGGCTGATGAGTTGCAAGAGACCTTCTCTGGATTTTCCCTGTTGCAAAAGCCCTCTCTAATGTTAGTTTTACCTCAATGCCAATATAATATTTGTCTTATCCCCCAAAAAATGGACCAAGGCTTCTAATCTTCACTGAACTAGTAAAGGAAATATTTTTACTGAAGCTGTAGATCAGAGTATAACATAAATGAAAATATAGATGAATATGTTTTCTTTCCTTTCCCACTGGGACTATTCAGCTTTTCTGCCTCAAGCAGCTAGTCACAGAGCTAACCATAAAAAGTGAATTTAGCCAAATGCTGTCATCATTCAGGAACAAAAAAAAAAAGATCCAAAACACAGAAAAAATCGCACTCCTTCTGATTCTGTCTGTGAATCACATGCTGACTGATGAAAAAATGAATGTAAAGTGAAATTTCATATGCCAAATATAAATGTGAGAATCTTCTCCTAATCCTTCCTTTTAATCTACTGCTGTAGTGAAAGCAGTCATACCTTACCTAAAATCCAAATAAAATCTGAAGTTGGCAGGTGATTTGTACTCATTGAAAAGTGGCGATTGCAAATGAGGGAACACTGACCAACTTCAGAAGAACGGGGTTTGTTTACTAGCTGATGCCAACTGCGCAAAATGTCTTAACTCCACAAAGAGCCCACTGGGTGCTTACTAGTGTAAAAGAAGCACACACCATAATTTGAGATCAGTGCTGGTACTCTCAAGTCACCAACACAGTAAGATAGGATTTAATATAGAAAAGGCTTTTTAATATGCTCATGCAGCAAAGCGATAATACGTAATTCATTTTCCCATGTATGTTCATCCAGTGACATTATCTGCAGAGTGATACAGCTGTTTTCTCCAATATGCAGATTTTTCAAATCTAATTCTTCTCCCTCAGAAGTTCATGTGAGTCTTTCCACAGATCTCAGAGTGAGACAGTCAATCAAAGGCTAGACCCTTTTGAAAACTGCATCAACAGCACTGCAGCATTAAATGCCAAAATATGAGTTGGTCTTTGCCAAACTTGTACATTTTTGGGGCTCTTTGGAGACATTTTCATTTGATTATCTGAGGTATCAGAAAGATAATGCACACTGGAAGTTTTTATTTCATAAAGTCAGGCACAAAATAGATCAAATATAACCTTGAGATATTTAATAAGTAAGTGAAAGGACTTCAGAAGTTCTTCAAAAGTACTAATTTCTCAAGCTCAGTAGCTTCACACCAGTGAAGGACATGGTTCATTACATTCCTATCTACCAACAAAGTACTAAGCACTCTCACAGAAGAAGCAATAAATAAATAACGTCATTTACTGTAACAAGCAAGCCAGCTGCATGGAAATGAAAAAAGCAATACCTGTGGTATTTTAATCCCCCCAAAACTTACAAATGAATGACATGAAAATAAATAGATAAGAGTTTGCAGTAATGCACTTATTTTTCCTTAAAAGTCTCCATCAATCCAAAAACATCTCCTTATTATTAAAAAAGGCAACACTGGTAAAATGAATTGCCTCTTTTGCATGGCAAATACCTTTAAAGTGTAATTCTGCTGTATCTGTTTTTGCAGATGTCCCAGTGCATAATTGCACCCTCCAACCTTCCTAGAAACACTATTAATAATTTTACTTCCAGCTTTACCTTAACCACTGTGTTAGTGATCAAGTCCAAATTAACATAAACTAAGCTAGCAAAAGAGTTGTACTCACCTATTCATGAACTTGTATCGGCGGTGCAGGTAATAGATTTTTCTCCTGGAAGAACAGCAAAAATGAAGCCAGTCGAGAAGAAAACCCATCGTCAGTTACAGTATGAACTAGCAAGGAAGGAAAGGAGATTGAAGACAGAAGCCTGTAAGAGGTGGAGGAAGAGACTAAAGAGAGATTACAGAACTGTCACAGGCAGCCACACAGACTCTGGTGGCATTTGAATTGCAAGGAGGTCATCCTTTTCTCATTTTCTTCTCTTTTTCTGCTACTTGTCATGTGTGAAAGACAGGGACTCAAAGATGTGTCTATTTCCAAGAAGTCCATAAACACTTATAGGAATTTTGCAGGACCAATACAAAGATGGATAAATTATCCTCTGTGTATCTCAAATCCACCAGATAATTTACCAAAACTGCATTTGATAAAATGTAGGGGGAGTAATTTAGAAAAGCCAGGGAAATGGTGCCTGATGCTGCAATATGCCAGTAACACATGCAGTGCCAATGTAGAGCAGTGTTTACTGATGGAGCATCATCCCTTGGAACAATACAGATTACATAAGTTATTTGGTATGTATTCAGCACCCACCCCAGGATATAACCACTCCCTCTGCCCCTTTTATAGGCATTGCTCATTTTTATTGTCAGTGCAATAAGCTGTGTGGGGGTGTGCATGAAGAACAAGTGAGAAGACAAGGTGCGCAATCAGATGCATGCTGACCACAGTCTCTTGATCTTGTCATCTTGCCACATTAGGAAATACTACTTTTCTGAAAGAGTGGTCAGGCACTGGAATGGGCTGCCCAGGGAGGTGGTGGAGTCATCAACCCTGGAGGTGTTCAAGGAATGTTTAGACACTGCGATGAAGGACATGGTTTAGTAAGAACTGTTGGTGGTGTGTGGACAGTTGGACTGAATGATCTTGTAGGTCTTTTCCAACCTTGGTGATTCTATGATTCTGTGATTCTATGATTCTATGATCTGCTTTCCTATGGGCCCTGTAGGGTTCACATCACCCAGGGCAGCAGCCCCTAACCATCCTGTGTAGATACAGAATGGGATGTCCACCTTCTGTCCCACTCCGCAGCTCTTGTTCTCCTCATAAGTGCCTATTACACCACAACTGTGACCACAACTGCGACCTTCACTAGAGAGATCACAGACTCCTTTGGCCAAATCTTCCACAAAGTAGTGCTGTATCTCTTGCCCTAATCAGCAGGAGCAGACAAAGGTCAAAAGTAAGTGTTACTGATGATGTCATTTGCTTCTTGATTTTCCTTCAAATATAATTCAGAGGTATCCACTTTTTGGGACCACCATTTTGATGCAGGATTTTATTCACTGATTTGCAGACCTTGGACTAGTCCAGCCTAACAGGACAGTAATAATGATCTCTCTGTAGATATGAAAAGAATGAAGATGTGGTCACGAAGCACATCTTTATACATAATTTGTATGGCACCCAATTTTCTATCTGCTGAGAAATGGATCTCAAAAATGGGACTTGCGACCAGGAAAGAACAAACTGCTCACAGCAACTAAAATATGAGTTCCTGTTATATTTCTTAATCATGAGATCTTATCTTCTTACTGGGGCAGATTAATCTCAAGGAATGCCAAGAAATGCTGAAAAAGGACGCTTTTAGCCTAGTCAATTGTTTCTATGGCTAGAATGGCTTTTAAAAAAGAGCATGCACATCCTGTAATGATTTGTGATTGCCTTTGCATTTTTCTCTTTAGCAGCAAAAGCTCAAAAAAGAGCTGTTGAATATTTGCTATGTAAACAAAAAACAAAAGAAAACCGAATTCATATAGAAAAAGCCTGCAATTTAGTCCTTACTTCATATCCACTTTTCCTAAAATGTTCTTAACAGTACAGAGCTTGTGTCATACTAGAGGCATTATTTTTTGTCCTTAAGCAAGAAGGAAATAGGAATAGAAATCCTGCAAAGAACATCAACTCACTAGCTGAATATTCTGGGTCTGATCTTTATCTTGCTCAGGAGTAATTCCACTAAAATAAATGGAATTAAGCAACTGTAAACCCTGCTAATTAAAAGAAAAATCAAGTCCTCTCAGTTCATGGATTTTGGTCAGTTCGAGTTGAAGTCTTCAAGCTATTCTAACAGTTCTGATAGCCAGCACAGTAAAATTGATATTTTACACAAAAAATTCCATAGCCCAACATGCAAATAATATTTAAAAATGGCCAAAATAATCTGAATGATGATGTGAAATTAATTTGGTTGTCAGTGGCATTCAATCAAATTTATTTTCTCCACAGGCAAAGCGCTTACAGCCTGAATTGTGCTCCTACTAGAAGTGATACATATTCATAATCTGCATTTCTGAACTTACGCATTATACAAGCAGAAATTTTACAGGTGCTGAACATATCAGATACGTCCAATAGACATGCACTTCTGTGCTGCCTTACGTACCTGGATCTTCTTGACCTCCCATTGATTTCAATGAAATGTCCATTTAAAAAACAGCAGCGCACAAGTATGCAGGGGGCTCCAGCAGTGAAGGGGTTAAAGGGCCTAAGGATAGAATACCCCATGAAAACAGCTGCACTGCTACTGCTCACCTTAATTTCAAACCAATACTCTACTGAAATCGCAGGCAGACATTAACAAGAACAATGAATATGGTACGTATGACACTCCATTTATATCTTCTAAGAGTGTGTGGTACCATATAGGCAAGCTTTCCATGTGCATTCTGCTGTTATTTTTTACTTTAGCTTTACAGTAAAGTGTGAAGACAAAATACAACTACACCTACCTGAACGGCATTCTTACATTCATTAGTTCAGCGTATTTGCCCAGGACCTCCCAAGGAGCATGCAACTTCACAAAGATGATGTCACTGTTTGTTAGAGATGACTGCAAAAGAAAAAGAAAACAGCCACCAGGGCTTAATTCTTCAGATAAGAAGAAAATATCTATTCTTGCCTTTGGCAGCCCTCCCACTTCCCAACTCTTCCCAAACCACGTGTTGTTCTATTGAAATGCTATCAACTTCTTTTCCTTCCAGTTTTCTGAGAGCCATGTTCTGACTTCCTTCCACCCTGTACAAGTATTACCTTCATACGGAAAAGAGGACAAGGATGGGAGGTTAACATGGAGTTGTGGGTTACCCAAGTGTGGGGTGGGAAAAAAGTTGGTCCTTAGCTTCAGCTAAAACTAAAATGGCAACTTTGGATCTGTTTCTGCTAATTGACCTGATTTCTGTGCTCATCATGACACAGATGTCTCTTTTTGAGTCATATAATGGAGACACATCTGGCAATTAAGAAAAATTTAGTGACATGGACATATAATGAAATTCAACAGTGTCATGGGTTCCATTCTCACTCTCGGCTCCAAGAATTTGAATGTTACAATTAAAGTCAGCAGGAAAAAGGATGCCTGATGCCACCCCCAGCACAGATTTATTGCCAGGAGTCAATGACGGTTTAGGGTCATGATTGCCACTAGGAGATCTTTAACTCTTTTCTCTGTACTATTTTCTTTCCTATGGGTTGCATGTATTTTCAAGAGAGTTTTACATATCATATTCACATTCAAACAGTTACCTAATAGAAGGCTGTCCAGCAATGAGCAGAGAACGTGCAGTTTAGAGAAGGGGAAAAATGTAGGTTTATTTGCTCTCAGGAGGAGAAATAGTGCTTTTCAGGAAAACTACAACAGCATTGGCTGAAACTGCTTTTATTGAGAACACAGACATTCACATATTAATATTGGAAGAGGAATTGTACAAATTCTAGTGAAAATCTGCATTCTGTGCAGCTTACAACAACTGAATGGATCACACTAAAAGAGACAACTAAGACAGGCCGAATTCAAGGAATATCCAGGAAATAAGTGAAGTATGAGCGAAGGAAAATGTGAGGACAGAGAAAATCAGGCAGGAAATTTGTTAGTTTAAGGACTAGTTGGAGAATAGGGATTTTTTTCCCAGTCTTTTAGACTTTGTACTATATTAAATGCTCCTCACATTCATTCTTAGTTATTTTAGCTTACTGGGGATTCTTAAGTCTAAGACTTCAACAAGTAGATAGCGCACAACCAAGACTATGCACTGCTGCTCTAAAAATTTCCTGCAAACTACTCCCGAAGAGGTTAAGGTTAAGTCAGCAGAAGACTGGCAATTTTTTTCATAAGCAACACAGATGAAAATCAAACTGAACCAAAGAATCTTTTAGTAAGGTCCTGACACACTAACAACAGTTGAGAAATGGAGGAAATTGACTGAAAACAGTCTATAAATTTACTGATGAATGTCATATACATTTTCCAGCACATTGTAATTTAAGCCATACAAAGTATAACAGTCACAGTAACAGCTATTTCACAAGTGAAATTTGCATTTAACTAGATTTGATTTCTTATATGTTACATATTTTCACACAGAAACATGAAAAGATTCCAAATACTATGAGAAAAAAATACAGATCTTTAAAGATATAGATTATTTTTTAAATCAGGATATTGTAATACTATTTTATTAATTTCTTCCGCAGAAGATCTAACAAATTTGTGAGGCTTAGTTATTTTCAGAAGAGATGATGATGCTAAATTATGAATATGCAAATCCAGTTCACTTGAATTTCCTCATGTTATGTGTTTATAAAAGAAAGCATATGGATAGACTGAGATAAGCAAGATTGGAACTAAAAGGACAATCCATACAAAAGAGTAATTTAATGCAGTGTCACATTCACCTAATTTAAGGAGAAAATTGCAAATCAAAGCATCTAAAAGAAAATATCAGTAGGTCTATCTTAGTTACAAAATACTTTAGTGAATAGAATCTGTGAAACTCTCTTTGTTATATTAGTACTTAGACCCCTTAGTATCCTTTGGCTTCATAATGTTCCACTGAGAGGAACACTGTTCTTTTATAATTGACTTTAGAGACTTGTCTCATTTAAAAGTTTGGAGAAATAAACACAGTTTAACATTATAGGAATATGCAAACAAAAATCAGTGTTAACATTGCTGAGCTTGGAAATGTAAATAAAAAAACTGTTTATTGACATGAGCCATCTGCTAGAAAATGATGTCTAGATGATAAAGAAATAAAAACTAACACAGCAATAAAGGGAGCAGAAAATGAAATATAACACTTTGCAAACTTTAAAATGGAGCATGTATTTGGCTTTGACTCATGACACCAATGTCATCAGTTATCACCTTGTGATAATTGCCAGGCCACCAACATTCACATAAATCGGCCATTTCAGACTTACTTCTTGAAGAAGAACATGCATAGTGTGAGACAAGAGACTTTATTATAATCAGAGAACCACTGATTAATTGAAGCCTCCTCTCGGGGTCATCTGTGCTCACTCTTAGCCTAAAGCAGGGTCAATTTTAATCATTTGCTCAAGGGCTTGTCCTGTTGAGTTCTGAATATCTCCATGGGAAAAGATTTCACAACCTGTCTGGGCAAGCCACTTACTGTAAATGGTTGAGAAGAAAATATTTTCTATGGTAAAACTGTAAAACTGTACACTTCTCCAGAGAAATGCTGGTTGTAAAAATACGAGTTTTTACACTGGAAATCAGAGAACATTCAAAAAAATGCAAAGAAGGCTTTATAAAGCAACTTGATTCTTACAGGAATGCATAAAAAAAAAAAAAATCTGACTAAACACACTAGCAAGGTGTATTTAGTTTTATTGAATCCTCATCTTCAAAATATGACAATGTCCCACAGGATAGAATTCAAATCACCACAACCGGGTCACAGATTATCAGTATACAACGAGTGCCATTCTGTGGTGTCATCAATCTACTATTTTTCACAAACTATAATTTTTCTGTCCTTCTTCTTCCTGCTCACTCACCTCCTTTTTCAGTTGATCTGGAACTACAGTATTCCTGAAAATACTAGACCAATGTTTAATAACCACAAGTAGATGTTTCCATGGCCTGTATTTCAGTATAAGAGATTCATTAATTCTCACCCTTTCTGTGTTCACTGATAAATCACTTTTATCATGATATTATGGCTGGCAATATGACAGTACAGGTAGTGCCATAGGACCACATATTATAGGTAGAAATGGCTATTTCTTTCTTCTGGCAAGACCACCTTTGTCTTTTACCACTAAGTCTGTAGAGACACTGTATTCCCAAAGAAAACAAATCAAATACAAGTGTGCTTAAAAACTAAGCACTGTATTCTTCTCCAGTATCACTATGAAAGTAATGGGAGAGTGTAATGTAAGGGCCATTTACATAACTCCAAAAGCATAAGCAACTTCTTCGGGCCAAGGAAAACTTGTAAAGAAATATCAGGTTCTTGATCTTCTTCTGAAAGGAGGCTTTCATGTCTAGAAACAGAGTGTTGTTAACTGCTGCTTTAGAGAATTTAAGTCGTGGCTAACAAACTCACACGTATTTCTGCAGGCATTCTAAGTTCTTTTGATGGCAGGATTTGAAAATACGTATTCACTACTGACCTGGCTCTGCTCTTTCTGAAGTTATCATTGTTAGTCGGAACGGAAGCAAAATTGTGCTGACTTTGAACATCTCTTGAAAAGCCTACATTCTACAGTATTTGTAGACTGCCTTCTAGGATCAGGGCTGGAGATTGGTCCTTATTCAAATACTTTCTTGAAGATTCTTTTGCAACAAATAAAACTTTCAAAATTCATTACTAATGTTGTCAAGTCATTTTAAGACAAAAACAACTGTAGGACTCTCGTTAATACAGTATTTTTTAGGTTAAAAATTAAGAAAGTAGAAAAAGGGATTCACAGAAGATAACCTTGAAGAAAGATATAATTACAGTGTCTCCAATTGGGTGGTGCAATTATTTATTTGCCTTAAGGCTACAAGGCAGACAACTGTAAAAACCAATGCTCTAATTTGTGTATGCTTATCTATATGGAAAAAATGTAAAAGGAAAATAAATCAGAATTTATTGCAAACACCTTTTCCCTGTCATCATTTAAGAAAAAAATACTAAAGACTGGGAATTTTCCCACCTTTAAAGTAAAATAAGATAAAAAGATTTTGGAACAGATCCAACAACTAGACTCAATTCTTGCCTGAATTAGGAAGACCCAGCAAGGTAACTTAAAAAGAAAGAATAGGAATAGTGCTGTAGTTACTTGCAAACAGTTCATTTTTGTTAAGAACATCAGATAAGAAGCCAGAAGAGAAAATCAACATCTGTCCTCTAATAACAATTCTGCCTATAATCAAACTCCATATGATGTCTCACTGCAGAGCAGTAAATAGTAACTGTTGCAGGTTCCACTGCTTTTGAAAATGACTCTAGTATATTAACAGCACAGACTGACTTGCCATGTGAACTGAATTAAGTGGATGAAAACAAAAGCCAGCAAATTTTAGCTGATTAAATCATCCTTCCTCTGCAGAACCAAAATAAATATAAATTAACGAGTGTAATTCCACAGAACTGGACAAGCAGCAATAATGTTCTGCCAGTACTTTTCAGAAGTACATACCTCACCACTGAGTACATAGTCTCAATGCATTTTCTGTTTGAGGGAAAATATTACACACGCACATGCGTTAACTTCTACATTCATGGATCAAAGGAATCTACTAAATAGTAGTGCCAATGTCTTTCAAATGCATCCTTTCAATCACAGCACAGTTGTGATGGAAAAAAGGAATATATTGTTCACATTTCAACATGTTAAGAAGCTTTTGACTTAGGAGACCTGTAGGACAAAAGCAGTTAAGGTGAAAGTAAGATTCAAGAAATAAAGTCTTAACTAATAAATAGAAAGCTGTTAATGAAACAATTTTTACACAGGAGGACACTGACATATAAAATATTGAATAACTGTATATGAAGCCACAGGAAGAGGTTACAATTTACTGTGATTTTTGTATGAAAA